AATTATTTCGGGGCTTAGCGTCCCCGCGGCCCGGTCGTCAATCAGGTCTCCTCGTTGCTGGACTGGTCAACCAGGCTGTTGGACGCGGCTGCGAGCAGCCTAACGTATGAATCACAGCCTGGTTGATCAGGTATCCTTTGGAGGTGCTTATCCAGTTCTCTCTAGAACACTGCAAGGGGTCAGCCAGTTATGCCCCTTATGTGTAGTGGAAGCTTGTTGAACAGTCTCGGGCCTCTGATGTTGAAAGAGTTCTCTCTCTCAGAGTACCTATTGCACCTCTGCTCTTCAACGGGGTATTCTGCACATCCTGCCATGCATTCTGGTCTCGTGATGTTATTTCTGTGTGCAGGTTTGGAACCAGGCCCCTCAACTATTTTCCACGTGTAAATTATTATGTATCTCTCCCGCCTGCGCTCAAGAGAATACTGATTTAGACTCTTTAGTCGGTTTCAATAGTTTAGATGGTTTACTGTTCTAGCATGTTGTTGTTTGTTGTTTAAGATTCGCTACTTGGAACAAAAAGTTCCAAGTAGCACGGGCTATGGTGAGCCCGTAGTTTGTGCTCTAGCAGTAAAGGATCTCTGCATGCTCTCCAGGTCAACGTAGTTCAAATGGAGGATACAATTTACTGGGAGAATGCAGTTTACTGGGAGGATGCAGTGTATATATTAGGATGTAGTTTATAAGGAGGATGTAGTTTGCTGAGTGGAAGCAGTTTATGGGGATGGATGCAGTCTATAGAGATGCAGTTTATACGGAGAGATACAGTTTATGGGGACGGATGCAAGTTATAGAGGAGGGAGTTTATAAGGAATGATGCGGTTTATAGGAAGGATAAAGTTTCTATAGAGATGTAGTTTATAGGGAAGATGAAGTTTATATGGAGGATGTAGTTTATAGGGAGGGATACAGTTTATTGAGAGGAATGCAGTTTATAGAGGGGACATAGAGAGGTCAGTTTATGAGGGGGATGTAAAGGTCCATTTATGAGGGGGATGTAAAGGTCAATTTATGAGGGGGATGTAGAAGTCAATTTATATGAAAGGGATGTAGGGGTTAGTTTATATGAGGGACCTAGGTATTAGGATATGCTAATGAGATAGATACAGGGGGTTATGCTAGTCTATATGGGAGGGATGTAGGGGTTAGTATATATGGAAGAGATGCTGGATTCAGTTTATATGAGAGGGGTTAGTATTCAGTCGATATTGGAGCGACCATACGAGTAATAAATACTCATACTCCGCCCAAGTAAAACAGAAACAAGCAACACTTAGTGGGCCAGCCAGAGGCTTAGGGCCCGCGCAGGAATATCCCTGAAAAAAAAGTCCATATTGGGTGGATGCAGAGGTTAGGGATAAATCTTTATGTGGGGAATATAGGGCTTAAATCTTTCTATGAGAAATGCCGGGTCGGTCTATACAGGAGGAATGCAATGGTTAGATTAGGTTTATATGGGATGGTTGTAGGAGTCAGTCTATATCTATATGTGAAGGTTATCTTAAGATGATTTCGGGGCTTTAGTGTCCCCGCGGCCCGGTCCTCGACCAAGCCTCCACCCCCCAGGAAGCAGCCCGTGACAGCTGACTAACACCCAGGTACCTATTTTACTGCTAGGTAACAGCGGCATAGGGTGAAAGAAACTCTGCCCATTGTTTCTCGCCGGCGCCTGGGATCTAACCCAGGACCACAGGATCACGAGTCCAGTGTGCTGTCCACTCGGCCGACCGGCTCCCTTCGTCCGACCGACCGACCGGTGAAGAGTACAAAGAGGAAAATCCATAAAAGCATTAGGCAAGGCCACACAGATGTATTTTCCAATGTTTCGTTTAGAAGAAATTAAGTATGCATAGCGTATGAGTGACAGTGAAAGGTCTGTTGAATTGCGAGGCAGTGGGAGGTTAATTTGCGAAATGAGATCTGTCTACGAACAACAGTGTGAAGTTAGTATAGAGTCAGCTTTCAAAGGGGCGAGGGGCGTATCAATCTACAAATAGTCAAAGATTTGTCTACGAGGGAGACTGAAATGCATATACGAGGGAGTCGTCTATCTATCTTGAGGTTATCTTGAGGTTATCTTGAGATGATTTCGGGCCTTAGCGTCCCCGCGGCTCGGTCCTCGACTAGGCCTCCTTTTGTTACACACCCCCAGGAAGCAGCCAGTAGCAGCTGTCTAATTCCCAGGTACTGATTTACTGCTAGGTGAACAGGTGCATCAGGGTGAGAGAAACTTTGCTCAGTTGATTCCGCCTCCACCGGGAATCGAACTCGGAACCTTAGGACTACGAATCCCGAGCACTGTCCACTCAGCTATTAGGCCCCTTGACAGGGTTAGGCCCCCCCCCCCTATAAACTGCATCTACTCTGGAGGGATAATCTGGCTCCCGGGAACACACGTCTACGACAGAGGAAAATGTAATTTTGCGAAGAAGAGTGAGGGTCATTTATGAGTATAAGGGAAGTGCAAATAATTTCCATCATAGAGCAAAAGATTTATCTACGAGGGAGAATTTTGTCTATGAGGGAGAATGGAACCTCTCTACGAGCAAAAGGTAGGGGAGCTTGTCTCCGAGTGAGGGGAGATCCATATATGAGTTAAACGGAGTGAGGTACGTTTGCGAGAAAGAGGGAGGAACTTACGTGGAGGAAGCGTGAGGTACGTATGTGAGGAAAAGGGAAGGTGAGGTCCATGTATGAGTAAGAGGGAGGGTGAGGTCCACGTATGCGGATTAGAGGGGATGAGGTCTATGTATGAGGAAGAGGGACGAGGAGGTCTACGTATGAGGATGAGGCCCAATTATAAGAAAGGGAGGGTAAGGTCCATGTATGAGGAAGTGGGAGGGGTGAAGTCCACGTATGAGTAAGAGGGAGGGTGAGGTCCACGTATGAGGAAGTGGGAGGGGTGAAGTCCATGTATGAGTAAGAGGGAGGGTGAGGTCCATATGTGAGTAAGAGGGAGGGTGAGTCCATATGTGAGTAAGAGGGAGGGTGAGGTCCATGTATGAGGAAGAGGGAGGGTGAGGTCCATGTATGAGTAAGAGGGAGGGTGAGGTCCATGTATGAGTAAGAGGGAGAGTGAGGTCCATGTATGAGGAAGAGGGAGGGTGAGGTCCATGTATGAGGAAGAGGGAGGGTGAGGTCCATGTATGAGTAAGAGGGAGAGTGAGGTCCATGTATGAGGAAGAGGGAGGGTGAGGTCCATGTATGAGGAAGAGGGAGGGTGAGGAGGTCCATGTATGAGGAAGAGGGAGGGTGAGGTCCATGTATGAGCAAGAGGGAGAAGTTTGTGTAGCCTACGAGATTAACTTTAGAGGTTCTATTTGGTAACTTACTAGGCTAGATTGAAAGCGATATCTACTTTCCGGAAGTAATAAACGGGTTTTCATCTTGAATGAGATTATCATTTAAGAGGGAAAGCAATGGGGTCTGTCAACTAAGAATGTGGAAGAGAGAAGTATGACTGCTGCAGGAGGAGGTGTGTGGAAGAGAAATTTAACGAGAAAATGGAACGGATTACTCAAGCCTACCAGTCATTTTTTTTCTTTACTTCATCTCCATAAAATTCTTCTTTGCATTATAACCTTTCCTTTGCAACAAAACACTGTTACAATCTGAAGGGGGAATGTTTACCGGTATACCTAGGACCTGTTGTAAGGTTTGAGGTAAGAGTATTTTAAGGTGTGCCAAATACTAACAATCTGTTGGAAGAGGTAAACTGTGTTAGGAGTGTTTTCCAGTATACCTATGTTTAATGGTACAGTCTGTAGGCAGTGTCTATGGTGTATCTAGGACCAATGCAAGAGTACACAGGGAGAGTTATTCCCGGTGTACTAAGATAAATAAAAATGGCCCAGTCTGTTAGACGAATGTTAACCAGTATACCTGGGCCCACTGCCAGGGGAAAGACGGGGGGGAGCACTCCCTACCAAGTGGTTATAGATGCATAAACATCAACAAATTGCTTGTATGTTATAAGACATTTACAGCTGACATAACAGGTTTACACTATAAAATCTTCATATTATCAGAACAGATCTAAGGGCAGTAGCGAGGTTAATCATAAAATCCAACAGACTTTTCAACACACGCACTAAATAGAACTAAATGTGTCATAACTTGATTTTGTATACACATCTTCACAGCGTGCACTATTTAAATACTGGCGGGCGTCTGGCGCACTGGGCAGGAGGCTGTCGTCGCGGTCTGTTTACTAATCAATACTAATATGTAATGTAATTGTGTATACTGTTAATAAATTCTTACTGTGTGACAAACAGGAAAAAGTCGGAGAAGCAATACATTTAAGTAATGAAATAAGGTGATACAATAACAATCACTTTAAACCGGCATCATATATTTAAAGCCTCATCACGGTTTAAATAAAATAACCTTCGTCTGAAGGTAGACTTAGTTTTGTTGTCGCAAATAAACCTTTAAAGATAGGTTTTCTAGGCTTATGAAAGATGTCACCACAAATCCAGACTCTTAAATTCGTTGCTACTACCTAGACACCTATTGCTAGAAGTTAGGTTGTGTCATGTTACAGTGTGTCATGTTACAGTATGTCATGTTACAGTGTGTCATGTTTCAAGCTTGGCACAGTTAGGATAGGAACGACTTGTAATGAGGTGAATTGTCATGTAACCTTATGAAATGATATGGGTATTCGTAAAGCAACAATACTATCACTGATAATGTAGACACCATCACAGAATATCTTAACCTGCCGGTGGCTCAGTGGTTGTGGTTCCCACTGCTACACCCTGGTCGACACCCTCGCCCCTCGCCCAGGCCTGTACTAAGACCAGACACACAAAAATCCCTTCCTTCGAGCCATGTGGCGGGACCTTAGAAAAATCAATGTAAGAAAAACCGGGCAACTAGTCAAATCACGATTTCTACCACAGTCCTTTTATTATGAATTAGCTAAAGCAAGTAACTAGTGAAGTAGAGGGCTGTCATGGGTATAGATACGGGCTAAGATGGGATAAAATGCTCACCTTTGTCAGCTGAAGCTCCACGACCCAAACAAACGCCCAGGGTTACCACCGCCGCCAGAGTCAACTCCAACGTTGGATTTCCTCGTCTTCCACCCATTTTCAGGCACTATTCGATCTCCACTGCGTTGGGTACGTTTACCAGCACAAACAATTTACGTCATGTGTTAGAAAAAACTATTCACGCGCGTTTCGTGCATCTTCAAACATGTTGTTAAGTGAAAAACTGCACAGAGACACAGCAAATACAACCTCCCTCTAAGAGTCACAACTGAACACTGACTGGATTGATGCTTCATGGGGGACTTGGGACACCGGTTGTACACCCGAAAACTAGTTCCCGGTACAAAGGAACTCCTTTAATTTATACCTTTCTCTTAAATGATTTCGCACTCACAAGAGTACTTAAAACGTTTGCTAGAACCTGTTAATGTATTTATATTTACCTTTCTTTTAAAATCGGGCAAATGATGTCAAGCAAGTTATGAGATATTCCTCCGCCACGGTCTGGCATTCATCCCACGGCGGTGATGCCACACACTCTTATTAATCATCCCACAACAACTCTACCAATATCTCTTAACTTATATTGATATTTGTTTAATTTCTCAGACATTATAAATAAATTAGAAGTACTGTTTATTTATGCGAAGAGAGTGGCATAGCCGATAAATATTCTACTAAATTTATCGGCATGATTAGTTACTAACAAAAGTATTGTATATTGTTTATCCATATTATACTGTTTGCCAAGTTCACGCACACACACATACACACACATTTTAGATCTGATTTCAGATTTTTAGACCCAATAGGATTCAGAATCTGTACACCAGTTGATTGGCAGTTGAGAGGCGGGACCAAAGCGCAACCCCCCCCGCAAGCACAACTAGGTGAGTAAACACACACACACACACACACACACACACACACACACACACACACACACACACACACACACACACACACACACACACACACACACACACACACACATACATACATACACACACACACACACACACACACACACACACACACACACACACACACACACACACACACACACACACACACACACACACACACACACAGCTACCTCGAGCATAGCTCTCATCCTTTAACTACACTTAGGTAATTACACACACATGTCCTAAGAGTGGTGGTCGAAAAGATAGAGCCCCTTCCCCCCCCTACATAATATTTGTTCAGCTAAGCAATTTATAGCACTGAACAATTACTTACAATGTTTGTTAGCAAATGCATTAACAGTCTATTTACCGTTATAGTTAACTTAGTTTAACCCCCGCAACTAAGCTCAACCCATTAGCTAATTTTGTTAACTTAGTTACTAAGGGAGCTAATGAGCAAACTAGACTAAGTCTATAGTTAGGTCATTAAAGCGTAAAACCCATGCCAGTCATGCACTTTCCTCCCATCCAGCGGTGCACATGTTAGATAGCGGTGCACATGTTACATAGTGATGCACAGCTGACAGGTTTTTGACAGTTTTCTTCTCACATGTTTTTGCAATTGAGGCAGGTTACAGGATTGGTGACCAGTTACACAGTTGATATTAAAACATTGTCACACAATGGCTCAGGCACTAAAACTCCACGTGTTTGTTGGCTAAGAAAATATATGATCAGGTTAGAAGGGCAGTAGTCTAATAACAGCATTGTAGTTTATGTTACAGTGGTCACAAGCAAGTAATTAAGAAACTTGCAAGCAGTGCAAGCTTAAAGATCATGTATGCACACTCAAACCAGGGATACTTGGCTAGTGTTTTGCATCATATGGCATACCTACCTGTTGTTAGTTCCGGGGATCAACATCCCCGCGGCGCGGTCACTGACTAGGCCTCCTAGTTGGTGCTCTGGTCAACCAGATTAAATATGTCACATTTCTTGAATACTCATGACAGAGTTGTCTCTTAATTTCATGATTTCGTTCTCATTCAAATATATTGTTATGAAAGGCGTGTGAGTAACTTTGCTGGCAAAGTTTATATTTGGTCAAACTCATCAGCAGGTGATGTCACCTGCCAGATGTACCTATAGAGCCGAGCCTAAACATAACAGATGTAAAGTCTTGAAGTTTGCTGATTTTACGGAATGACCCCATACAGATGAGCTGTCACTGCATGAGTGTAGGATAGTAAATGGAATACCTAGTGCGAATTTCCCTTTGTCTTAGGTCTAGTCAATTTTGTTGGAGTTCTCGGTATATTACTGTCCCCAAGCTAGTCATAGGAAATCCAAGATTATAATCAACTTTTTCTTTTCAAGAACTCATACTTTGACCAACTCATCAGTTCTATCATGCATTCAGAGACTAATATAGTATGGAATCCATAGGAAAGTTCTGATTCCTTCATTAATGATTTTATCATATCTGTGCCTTGCTTCAGACACGAGCACGTTATAGTGTCAATTATAGCAATATTAAATAATTTGCAAGAAATGAATTATATATATGTATACAGAATGAAGCAACTGTGCAATGCCGACTAACGTTCCATTATGCGAACTGAAAATGTTAAAAATATAAAACTGCAAGTCATTGACAATTTTAAGTGTAAACACGATAGTTTAACATATATATACAGGACACCATGAGCTTGAACTCTGACTTGTAAAAACAACACAAATATTTACTCACAAATTGATAACCAACACACGTAAATAATCATGACTAAAATGGTATTGTGAAGAACATTTTAGGAAGGAGAATGGGTGGACATTAGATAAGAAAAAATACTTGCATGGATTCCACAAGATAAAATAAAAGCCCCAAAAAGACGCGAGCTATCAGATGATCGCAGGAAAAAAGAACAATTTAAGGCATCCAATGATCAAGAGTGTTGACACATACCGGGAAGACCTTCAACCAGAAATGCCAGGGCTCGGAGAGACGTCTTGATCCCTTTATTGGCTATCATTTGCAGCCGCTATTTCAATGAAGCTTTCACCATCATAGGAGCCTGATATATAGAAATTGTACAATCAATAATAAAAATATTAAAATTCCTTGAATAATGTGTAAATCGAAAATGCAGCAATAAAGCCCTAAATGTAAAAAAATATATATATATATATATATATAACTAACGAAGCTCTGTTAGTTCATGTATTATACACCTGATGGTACTCATCCTTTGAGTGGCCGTGAAAAAGAAAACTGAACCCTAAACTTCGTTCAGTAGTTTAGGGTTCTAAACTTCTAAACGTGCTTCTAAACTTCTAAGCACGTCTTCGTGCTTCGTGCTAAACTTTAAAAACTTCTAAAAAAAATAAACGTTTAAGTTCTAAACTAAAAGTGCACCTAAAAGGTTTAGGTGCACTAGCACTGAGAAGCTAGTTACGGATTTTAACATAAACATCAACAATTAATACAGTTTTAGTTTAGGTAAATTAACAGGTTACAGAGTTGCAAATGGGTTCGGGAACTGAACCCCAATGTTCTATAGATTAATCAAATTTGAAATGTATGATTTACAGTTTTCATTTATCTCAAATTAGTGATAAAGTTACAAAAGTAATGATCGACTTACAGTTCTGTCCGTAGCTGTCGTTGCGGTACATGGTCTGAGATAAACAGGTACGAGACGAGTAGAAAGTGTAAGTGTACATGAGTGTACTATTAGGAACGGTTTGATTCTAATAAACATGCAACAGAGGTATTCTGCGCAAGAGGTTTGTGTACACCTCATTATTACATTAGTTAGACTTGATTCTGAAGTATTGCGCAGCCTGAAGTATTGATTCTGACGTATTGACTCTAGCATGCGCAGTTTCGGATATTTTCCAAGGTGTTATAGCATGGGTATATGGGGCCAATGTATTCACCTAGTTGTGCTTGCGGGGGTTGAGCTCTGGCTCTTTGGTCCCACCTCTCAACTGTCAATCACCTGGTGTACAGATTCCTGAGTCTACTGGGCTCTATGGCCCAGTATAATGTGTTTGTGGCCATGTGAGGCCCAGTGTGTCGGATAAACGTGTAGAGCCAGTATGTGGGCAAGCATGTAGGGGCCAGTGTGTAGAGTCAACGTGTAGAGTCAACGTGTAGAGCCAGTATGTGGGCAAGCACGTGGGGCCAGTGTGTAGAGTCAACGTGTAGAGCCAGTATGTGGGCAAGCACGTGGGGCCAGTGTGTAGAGTCAACGTGTAGAGCCAGTATGTGGGCAAGCACGTGGGGCCAGTGTGTAGAGTCAACGTGTAGGGCCAGTGTGTAAGGCCAGTATGTGGGCAAGCATGTGGGGCCAGTGTGTATAAACTACAGGTTATATAAAGTGCTAATGACTAAGACTGCCTAGGAGACAGACATTAGGTGATCATCGTCGAGATCATGTTTACAAATGGCTGACAAGGGCAATTTAGCTGTATATGTGATTAGTGCTGACTGATGCTAACGTTATCAGCTCTCTAATCTGCGAGTTGGTAAACTTGCGAACATATTCATTGTTATACATAAATAATAATTTTATTGAAGAAAAAGTAAGATAACAATGGGTTAATAAAAGCTTTCAAGAATGCCATTTTTATAATTATGGTTTCCTATTTCTACCTCAATATAAATCAATACATTGTTAAAGATAATATTTGGCATGGGAAAAAAATATATCATTATTAAAGGTACACAGATACATCACATTATCATGATATATTAATGAGAAAATCCACAAGAGCTGTAATGAGGATTCGAGTCTATGTGCTGGGTATTCCCAGATGCACGCTCTAAACGTTCACAGATGCAGATACAGAGATAGAATTACTGGACGACAGAGCCAGAATACATGGGGGGAATTGTGTGAAATCCCGGTTCAGCTTCTGTGGAAGCATCGGGAATGCTCAAGGGTGCAGTAGTATCCCCAGGTTGCAATTCTTCTACCATGTCGTGATGTAGTAGACTAGAGAGTGCATCTGGGAACATCCAGCGCATTGGTTCGAATTCTCATCACAGCTCCTGTGGATTTTCTCATTATTAAAGATATTCTTGCCAACCTTGATATTTATAAATTCTTGTTCACTAACATTTCCTTTAACACAACGATTAATATTTGTGTAAAAACATTTTTTTTTTACAAACACTAAATATATTCAAGAGTTTATGAAATGTGCAGATTAACCTGACTATTTATTTTGTCTGTTCATGAGATATTGTTTAGTTCTGAGATCTAATAATTTTTGCTAGGTCTAAATTTTACGGAAAAAATCAAGAGAATGAACAATCCGGAAATATTACTTCTTATGGACGCAGATACAATAAATGTAGTGTGCTAAGAGGATTGACTGATGAAGATTAAGCCACCCAAGAGGTGCTAAGAGGTCTATAGAAGACTATATAGTAAGTGTAGACGAACTGCGTCAGATGCGCCGGGGAAGTTCAAGGAACAGTCCTGAAGATATTTACAGATGGAATTCGTCCGCTGTGAAGACTATACTGTATATACTTCATTGAGCAACATACAAGATTTACACTGTGGATTCATTAAGAAAAAGGGTTCTGCCTAGAACCGCCCTGATGCACATGAATTAGTTCGATCGCACCTTTTTCCCTTGATTATCTCTCAAGACCATTCAGCTCGGTACTGAAAACTTGCCTCGCCTCATGCACAGCTTTGCTGTTCATGCAGTTCTGGGAAGCTTTTCCCAGTGGACACAATATCAAGAGTAACGTTGACGGTTGAATTAACGTTGCACATGGATATTTTGCCTACTTGGTTGATGAATCTGGTAAAATAGGATTAATTGCGGGAGAAGTGATTTAAATCATGTTTGCACACTTTAAATTGTGTGCACTTAAGAGCATAAACATTTTTTATACATCCATAAATTTACAGTTTTCCCATTCTTATGGCTAGGGATATACTACAAACAACATAGCCGCCCAGCAATGAATTTTTTTCTGATATGTCATTAATATTCTTTAGTCATAAATTTGTTGCAACCGTGTTTCGAATTGAGATAATTTTAAGACTGTGTAACACGACTGAGAGACTTAAAAGTTTGATATGCATCACCTATATAATTTATATAAAACAAAACACTTATGGTAAGGTCCTTAAAGCGGCTACACCTTGTGTTGACCTCGTGGTTACTCCTGAGGTCAATGTCATTGCGCCCGTCTAATATTTGGCCTTCTAAATGTTATGCATTAGTATAACTTGAGTTCTATAAATGCAAGATCTCATCATGATTACTGCAAGGAGTTTTATGTTTTAATTTCGTTCTACATTGTGATATGACTAAGTTTTGAATAGTAGTAGAGTAGTTTAATTTTTTCAGCAATAAAGTGGTCCACTGTGGCCCATGGGAAGACTTAATTGGTAGTTCACATTAGTTTGGAGATTTGCTATGTCCTCTATGGTTATTATTTCCCTCAAAAAATAAGTGTCATATGCATAGGAAGTTACAGTACAGTACTATAATATATTTTTGTACTAGAATAAGAAGCTAGGAGTATTGGACCAATGGGGGATAGTAAAACAATTAGGTAAATGTGTAAAATTTAATATATTTTTGTACATGTTTGCTTTACAAGCATGAAATATGTAATTATCATAAGGTGTTAAGCCTGGATGACTATTTAGCACCGAGTATTGCAAAACAATAACGAGCGAGGCCATCAACGTTGAACCAACGCCACCTGGATATTGTGCCCAGTGTGTGCAGTGTCCAAGAGTGTATTCTTCACCGTCTAGGTGGAAGAAGGTATTTACACAGAATGAAAAATATCCATAAGAAAATTAACAATAGTCACAATGCTGTTGTATTTAATTACATGTGTACTATGTATGTATGTATGTATGTATGTATGTATGTATATGTATGTATATGTATGTATGTATGTACAGTATGTATGTATGTATGTATGTATGTATGTATGTATGTATATATATATATATATACACACACACACACACACAAAAAGAATAGGGGTGGTAGGAGAAGAAAATATTAGTGTTCAGTGAGGATCCACAAGGTCTTCTCTGTATACTCTATAATTTCTTCTCTGAGGCTATGGGTCCCTACAATTGCACCAGAGGTGGTACCCTTAATATATATATATATATATATGAAAAACACCTATGATGACTTCAGTGTTGCACATCCAAGCGGTGGTGCCATTCACCAGGAAGTAGCCAAGTCTTGTAAATACAGAGATCTTGACCACCACTACAATTTTGTCACCATTGCCTCAGAGACACTTGGTGCCTGGGATAAAAGTGCTACTAGTTTTTTGAAGGAGCTGGGTTCTAAGCTAATTAAAACAACTGGGGACCCTAGAGCTGCCAGTTTCCTCTTTCAGCGCCTGAGTGTGGCGATATGGAGAGGAAATGCACACTGCATCCATGGTTCCTGCCAGCCATCTGAGGAGTTAGAGTAACTCGACAACCTGTGATTACTAGCCTTGTACCTTGCATGTAACCATATTTTTGTAATGAAGTTTTAAATAAAATAAAATGACAAAATACAAAAAAAAAAAATATAGAGAATGGTAGGAAAATATAGGGGTGGCAGGCTTTTACTACTGATAGGCTGCTTTTATATTTTTACCTTTCCACTCTGTTATTATAATTATTGTTCAAAAATTAATTACATATATATTTTCTAAAATATTAGTTTTAATGTAAACTATATACAATAATTAAATTCCTCGTGTCGAACGACATTTTTGCATATTTCAGTAATATACTTAAATAATTAAATCATAAAACTTCCCATTTTAATTTATATTAAAAATCACCATCAACGCTTCTTTCAACCACTTTTGAGGGGATCTTCAGCCGATGAAGAATATGTCGGCTTTTAGTATGAATTGCTGTCAGTTTTTCTTCCATTTTATCTTCAGAAGATGCATCCCAATTTGGCCAATCTCTGATGGTTGCCAGAAGTTTGATAATTTGATTTTGAAGCCTGGGGTCTAGTTTTGATTCACAATTCAGCAGTACACTGCCTAAAAGACCTGTTTATCAAAAACAACACTAAGGACAATGTAAATTAATTTTATATGCAAGAGAAAACAAGATAAATGGGAAATTATTTTTCATTGTAAAGCTTATTTCAAATTAGGCAAGTAATCTTGTTCCATAAAATTCACAAAAATTTAGGACTACTGATTATATTTTGTATATTTTTTAATTAAAAACTGTACAGTACTGTGAATTTAAAATTATTATTTATTATACCTTCTATACGTCCTAGCTCCTGAAGAATGTGGCATGCCTGCTGCCAGCCAAATGTAAATCCCACAAGATGATGCTTCTGCTTTCCTTCCTCGATCCCCTCTGCTTCACCTGTAGCATATTTCTGCAGCTCTAGGGCATCAACTGCATCAAAAATATCTTCCTTGCTCATACCTGTGCCATAGTGACAAGTGATTTTTTTATTAATATAGTGAGCTGTAATTAAAGTGTTGTTAAAACACAGTTTTAACAGGGCTTTGCTGCTGAGTGTACAGCACTCGGGGGTTGTAGCCCTAAGAGCCCAGGTTCGATTCCCAGCAGAGGCAGAAAGAAAGGGCAGAGTTTCTTTCATCTGATGCAGTGTTCACCCTAGAAGTAGTTACCTGGGATTTAGACAGCTGTTATGTGCTGCTTCCTATTATGGGATGTGTGTGTGTTAGAAATATGCATAGTAGACATTGCTGGGAAAAAAAGAAAGGTTATTAGAAAGGCGGGGTCCAAGAGCTAATAACTCGATTCTGCAGGCACAAATAGTAAATAGAGTTGATGTACCAGAGTTGATATACATGAGTTTTTAATTATGAACAGTATTCACTGAATGTTGCTCTTGTAGAAAATTTAATTACTGAATGTGATATGGAATTCCATGTACAGTACTATATGCATTGCTATTGAACTTTTTTTTCTTCAAAATACCACATAACTAGTGTTCAAGTATCAGATGGAGCACTTGGTTATTTGAGCTTAGAAATACTTTATGTTCTATAAAAAACTTGTGTAAGACCCCATTTTGAATTCATAATACAGAATTGATCCATGCACTTACAGATACAGATGCCCAAAACAGGGAATCTATTTTTCATAACTATATAATACAAATAGATGAAGGGTGTGAGACTGGAAAATTTGATAATTTGTTAAATTCATATTACAGAATACACATTCCATTCACCTGGGCTCTAGGAGACTCGAACCATGGAACCCACACGTGTGAGGCTGAAGCTTTATTGACCAAGTTATTGAGTACAGTGACACCTCGGCTTACGAATGCCCCTCTTTAGGAACTTTTTGAGTTATGAGCCCAATTTCTTCGTAAAATCTGAATCGGGTTACGAACTTTGCCTCGGGTAACGTAGTTTGGTGATACTGTATGCTTATAGCCGACCTAGCGCATGGTGGCACAGCGACTGCTTCTCAGTTTACCAGTGCCTCCCACCTAGTGACAATCGTGTGTTTTTCGGATTTTTTTGGGTATTTGAACATGAAAGTAATTATTATATATTTCGCCATAAGTCCCAAGAAAGTCAGTGGTAAGGTTCAACCTAAGAAAATAGTTGTGAGTAGAGGCAGTAGAGGATGTCCTTTCCTCATTAAGAAAATGTGTGAAGTATGGGAAAAACTGCAAAGTTTTGTTAAAAAAAACTCGACCACATAAAGCTGTAGCAGGCCGTTGCAGTGACCTTTTAAATGACAATGTAATGTCTCACTACAGACAAGTGTTAAAATGTAGGGAAAAACAAATGTCTTTAGACAGATTCTTAGTAAGACAAGCAAGCAGTGAGCCACACCCAGGTCCTAGTGGTACGCCTGCAAAACATAGGAGAGACAGTACCCCAGAGAAGTCATCACTGCCTGATGTTATAATGGAAGGGGACTCCCCTTCGAAACACTAACACCTCTCTTCCTTCCACCCCCCCTCCCTCACCGTCTTCCACACGCCAACAAGAGTCATCAATAAAGGTAAGCAATATCTTGTACATACTTTAGTACTAAAGATTTGGGTAAATTAGATATAAAATTTACCTTGAAGTTAATATTTTTGGGAGTGTGGAATGTATTAATTCAATTGACATTATTTCTTATTGGAAAATTTGCTTCAGTTTACGAATTTTCAGGTTACGAACAGTCTCTGGGAATTTATTCAATTTGTAAGCCGAGGTACCACTGTAGTCTTAATAAGAAAAGTTTCCAGAAGCAGCATCCTGCTGCCAAACTGAAATGTTTGACTTTCCCTGACTACTACTGAAGGTCAGAGGAATTTGTGATCCACGTGAACACCTAGCGCCCAGGTGAATGGAATGTTTATTGCCACAGAACTGTGGATGACAATTTACATATATGATGTTGGCATGGATCACTAATTTCTTTGAGCTTCAGTATAGTCAGGGAAAGTAAAAATTTCCAGTTTTCCCACATCCACTTCCCCTTCTGCTACTCGAAGAGACAAACCAGAAAACTGAAAATTATATGCAGTATATCAACTTCCCCTGTGACTCCAGGTGATAAGGGCCATACAAAGTGGGCCATTGAAGAGGAATGACAAAATGACATCAAAACCCAATGGGCAATAAATGCATTTGGCTGGCTGGCAGTCATTAGGTGGTGCAGGTGTCAAATGTTCACTTGGTGTCAAATACAAGTCACATCATACACAAGACGGTTTGCCAATGGATTTTAAGACTTACCTAACCTTACCCAACCCAACCAAGCCTAAAACCACCTAACCTAGCACATCCTACTGATATATATACAGTTTTAACAAACAAAACGACATAGCCCTGCTAGGTAAGTCAACTACGGGCTCACCATAGCCCGTGCTTCTTGGAACTTTTTGTTCCCAGTAACTGAATCTATAACAACAAACAACAACAAAACGAGCTTTATCAACCTATCCTGTGTATGATTTGACCATACCTATGGAGGGCGCCTGACAGTTGAATGGACAGCGCTTCGGATTCATAGTCCTGAGGTTCTGGGTTTGATCCCCGGTGGAGGCGGAGACAAATGGGCAAAAATTTTCTTTCACCCTGATGCCCCCTGTTAGCTAGCAGTAAATAGGTACCTAGGAGTTAGACAGCTGCTACGGGCTGCTTTCTTGGGGTGTGTAACAAAAAGGAGGCCTGGTTGAGGACCGGGCCACTGGAGTGCTAAGCCCCGAAATCACCTCAAGATAACCCTCCTGAGCGTTAACGTTGAAATAGGAGTCTAGGAGAGGGGCCACGTGTCTTGAAATTGTCCACACCATTCATGATGGCTCAACCCAGAGTTGTAAATCTTCATACTAACACACACAATTGAGTTTGTCAATCTGGTTGGTCTTGTCTGGTGCAATGGTCACAGTGATATTTTTATTTATTTATTTATATATATACAAGAGTTCTTACATTCTTGTACAACCATTAGCACGCATAGCATTTCGGGCAGGTCCTTAATTCTATGTTCCCCGGAATACGACCTGCCAAATCGTTTAACAACCAGGTACCCATTTTACTGTTGGGTAAACAGAGGCTACAGTTAAGGATTGAAGCCCAGTAAATCCTCCCCGGCCAGGATACGAACCCAGAACAAAGCGCTTGTGAAACGCCAGGCGAGTGTCTTACCACTTCACCATTGGGACTGCGTGGTGATAATTAAAGATGCTCCAACTTGCCAAAGATTTGTTCCTTGATTTTAAAAAGCTGTATGTGCCTGAAAATTTATCTTAAAAAAAATGAATGTGCCCCACCAATCCGAATTTGGATAAAAAATGTGGGTATATTCGCTTACTGGAGGAATATACCGGTCAGCGGGAAGTAGAGTCACAGCTCATAAGCGTCAATGTAGTCCTTTACAGGTTAGGAAGCTAAACGTATTTTGTAGGGCGTGTTTCTTGAATAAAAACATGGACAGTAAAGGAGGAAATGCTCTGTTTTCCTCTTGCAGTGGGCACCACCAGCGGGCAGGAGAACCATTCATCCGAAGACTCAACTCCAGAATGTTTACCGAAGTACAACAGGTAATGACTGTTTTTAATACAATATATTAAAACTTGTATTAAAGGTGTTATTAACACATTTTTATAAAAATTAAAGCATGTATGTAATTTTATTACTTACACATTTGTTAGTTTAGACAAATAATCCGATGTTATCGGGATTAGGACAGCTGCAGCACAAATAATTAAGCTCGTAGTACAGGGTTAATGTTTGTATACAAATAGGACGCCTCACTAGTGACGTCATTTACGGGCTATTTATGCCCGTTCCACCTTTTGGGTAGCTTAATCTTTGTCAATCAATGAATCAATCAGTGACGTCGTGGGTGTCTAGTTCTTGCAGTTCCGGGGATCACTGCAAGACGAAGAGATTTTGCTTAAGAATTTAGTTCTAATATCTAGTATGGGAGGACGTGTGACGGTTATGTGGTCTGGGATTTAATACCTGAGAAAAGTATGAGCTATCTAGCCATTGTTACCTTTAAATAAGCCTAGCATAGCCCAACCCAACTCATCCCAACATAACGAAAATTAAGAGATACAATTTTGAGTTTTATATATCTGCTCGAGGTGTGTAAAATGTGTAAATGTGCCCGCACCAGTTATGGTGCGGGCACTTTGAATGTGGGTCCCTCGACACTATGATTTTAATGCTGACATAAGTTTTGGATACTAATGTTGAATATCAGCGGATAGTTCTTAATTTTCTTTCTGTGAAGTGGGGTCCTTTCATATAGTGTTTCAATTTCCTTCTAAGATGCCTTCTTTTTCTACCATATGTTTCCTATATTTCATCCTTCTACACCCTTCTTGTTAAACTATTCTCAGCTATTCTACTAACATGTGTACTGTACTTCACACTCTCCACAGCTCCACATTTCATTCCCTCACTCCTCATTGTTTTACCCATCCAACATACATTAGCTACTTTTCAGAAAACAAAAGCAAATTTACACTGCTTATACTCTTAAGGACAACCCCTTCCTGTTCAAATTTCAGTTCCATATGTCAGGGCTGGGAGTAAGCATTGTATATTATCTCTTGGCCCTTTCTTAACTCATACTAACTTTCCTGCCTTTCATTATAATATTCACCTCTCCTACCACTCTTCTTCCACTTATTATCCACTCTTATTTCACTTATTATCCACTCTTATTTCACTTTCCATATTCCAGTTTTTATTAAATAATGCCTCTGAGTATTTACAATTTAGTGCCTCTTTCAGTCTCTCTTACCTCATTTTATTATCTCACTATTACTGCTCTCAAACATTTACTTTTTCCTACATTTACCTTCAACATTCTTCACTATAAAACTCGGTCATCATTTTTTATAATTCCTCCTAACTCTCAGGTGATCTTGACTTTAATTCCCTATCAAGGTCATCCACTGATGATAGGTCCGTGAAAAGATAAAAAGGTTTTGGCAAAGATTTAAGTAAGCAGTAAAGCAAAGCATTTTAATATTTGTATTTAGCACTAAAAGTAGAATATTAAAAGCTTTGAACAATATGAAATTCTATATTGGTATTTTTTTCGGTTAGGCTAGTCTATCGAGACAATTTGATAGAGTGGACACCATATTCTGGTTCACTAAGAATTTGTGGGTTAGCCAATTCTTTCCAACCTACTAAGAGTTCTGGTTCACCATGATTCATTCGAGCAAGTTTCCACTGTATGCGAGTAACAACTAAGCACAAGAGGGAAACTGGGAATCCTTACTCAAATAGTGGGGAATGGTGACTCATTTCTTTACTCGTTAACAAGACTAATTACTTGTACTAGTATGTTCATTATTATATTTTATATATTACAGTATTTTGTATTCGTATGAGAGCTCCTTACCCTTTGACCTTTTTCATCTTCTTACAGGCAGTGCTATACTCATTTAATGAATTGTATTTTTTTCAGAATTTAATAATGGGAGCCATTCACGGGAAAGGTCGGTTCAAGTGCAGTGATTGTCATCAGCCTTTTTCTTGGCGTTTAGATCTTGCTGAACATGTTAAGCAATGTAAAACTCTCCAGCAAAGGTTTGTTTGGCTTTGCAGAATAATAAGAACAGTCACTTTAAATCCACTGTTGTTTCATAATTGTTATTTTAAATATTCCCTATACCTATACAGCATCTAAATATTGTTTAGTTCTACACTATGCAGTTACCTAATAATGTGACTTTCTTTGAAGTGGTTTCATAGATTTTTCTTTAACTATCCAGCTAGTGGGTGATAAGCTAATATTTGGGGAAGACATTGCCTGAAGAACCTTTCATAGAATGTGGGGAAAAATACTGTTGAATTGATGTCAATTCTTTATATTTATGTATATAAAATTGTTAATCAAAGTACTGTATTGTAATAGTAGTTATTAAGTGCTGTAACTTGCTTAAAATTCTTTCTTTAGAAAAAACAAGGATCAGCAGGCAGAGTATTATCTGTTGGAGTCATGTTTCCTCTGTGGCTGCCAGCTGTCTGGGGTACAGTCTGAAGAGGCATCTTTTGTCAAAGGTCTCCAAAAGCTCTTTCACTCAAAAAGGTCATTTATAGAGGTGAGATGATTTTTAATTATATTAATGATAATAATAGTACTGTACTGAAAATAATGATGAGGTAATGCATTTAGCATCAAATACTAGTGACTGGGTACAAAAACCCATAGTGCCTTCCATTGAAATACAATACTATAGTTTAACCATTTGTTTCCAAAAAGCTGTAGCACTCGCCTCACAGAATTATAATTATTTGTTAATTTAGTAGTTATTAAATTATTATTATTATACTGCAATATAAGAAGGGGTTATTAAAATTGTACACCTAATAGATATTCATTACAGGTACTGGAAATAATTGTTCAAGATCCTTCCTTAGCCTACCTAGACCAACACACCATTGGTCTCTGCAAGGATTGTATGAATGCTGTTAACAAATGGGATGAGATGGAGCAACAGATATTAACTATTGCTAAATCACTCTACAATTCATACAGGTAAAGCTTTATTTATATTTTTGCTGTATACTGTTAGAATTGAGATGGACACTTTCCATTCGTGACCTGTAATGTTTCTTTCACATAAGATAAGGTACATAGCAGTTCAGTACTTTAAGTACTTTGAATTTTTCAGAAAGAATAATTTTCATAAATGATGTTTAAATTGATAAAGCAGAAAAGTATATATGAGTTATTGCATTTGTTTGCCCCCTTATGTTAAGATTACTATGTTCTCTGGATAAAGATCTTAACAGGCAGGTAGGTGACATTTTTGGCATTGGCACTCTAGGGAATTTTTCAATTTGTTTCATGCAGGTTTATTAACCCTTAAACTGCACAAAATGTCATATGATGTGTGACATTGAACTCAGTTTTTTCAATTTTCTGAAACTCTTTCAAATGTTTTATGCATAATCTACTAGGAAAATGGTCCAACTTTGTCTAAATGATACCAGTGTAACTTGAAAAACAAGAAAATAAAAAATAATTATAAAATTGAATATTGAAAACTTCAGATTTTGAAATCCGCTGCAAAAATATAAAAATATCACCAACTGTTTATTTGGTGTTGTTATGCTCTCAGAATAGCATATGATCTTCATTTTCATATATTTAGAATATAGGTTTTCAGTATAGTTTACTGTAAAAAAAATTGTCGATATGGTATTTGAAATATGCGCAAATTTAGACAACAAAAATTTATAACTCCAAACGTTTAGAGTTTATGAAAAATCGATTCTATAGGGATTGTAGAACAGACAGATGTGCACACTATATGTAAAAATGGGGAGAATCGGTCAGAAACTAGATTTTTGGATACTAAAGTAAGTTGAAGTTCTAGTTATAGATATAATTGAAGTTGAAGTTATCGACAATGAATAAGGCAGTTTTAATTCATAAATTTACTTGTATGTTGTAATAAACATTGTTTGGCATTCATACTCAAGTATGTGAAAGTTGCAGGTCAATGTGTGTGTAGAAATGAAGTAAGAAAAAAATAACCCCCCAAAAAACAAAATATAGGAATAATTATAATGATTTAAGGAATATATTTAGGGTATACTTTATATAAGTAAAAAAGCCCTAATCTGGTCCCCTAACCATCAAAACAACCTAAAGAAACAAGGAAAATAGAGTTTGAAATCTGTGAAAAAATCAGCCAAAAAAAATTCAAAGTCCCAAGTTCTAAGAGTTGTAACTGATTTATTTGTTGACCAATTTAATTTTGGCTTCACATAGTTAGGGACGAGTATGCATTCTCCAGGATATATAGGTTAAAACAAATTCAAATAATAAACAAAGGAGGAAAAAACCTAAAAAAAAAAAAAATCCCCTAAAAAAATTTTTTTTTGGACATTGTTGAAAGTAACTGATAATAACATTGGGCAATGTATTTATATAATATATAATAAAATATAGCATAATAACATAATTACTCATTATTATTTGTGTTATTATGTAATACTCACCAATGCTATAAAGGCACCAACTGTATATCCACTTTGTGGACACTTCGTACTACTTTTCTTCTTTGTGCATCGGACAGGTGCTTTCATCTCTTTATTATTGCACTATCCATCAGTTCCAGTTAATAGGAGCAGTTCTCTTTATCAACAATTTTTTTTTTTTAATATTCATCTAAAATCAATTTCTGAAAATATTTTGATGAAAGTTTCACAAAGCTGAAGCCAATAAGTTGGAGATTTGTTTAACGTTTTTAAGGAATGTTTACATAATTCAAATATTTTTTTAATTATACCCCCTTCAATGTCATACATCATATAATGTTTTGTGCAGTTTAAGGGTTAAAGATGCTAGAAAGGGGGATCACTCTGAGATAAGTTCATTTTAGCCAACAACCAAAAATGACAGGTAGAGCTGCATTCCATATCAATTCAAATGTGTGTAAGAGTTCTTTCTTGTGATCAAATATTACTGCTAAATAATGTCTCCACTTTGATAGTGCTGTCAGCCAACAGGGCTTTGAATTCTTCCTGGGAAGGAAAAATAGGTTTGCTCCCAGTAATGAAGGGAGGACTTGAAGTCTCTGGGATGGAACCATCACCTCTGAAACAAATCTAAATGGAGATGCCCTTAAAACATCGGCCTCTAGCACCTCCTGTGCTTAAACATCTGAGTGCCAAATGTATTTGGGGACTGTAACCTGCAGGACTCAAGTAGGGATGGAGATTTTGACTGGTGGTTATTGCAATTCTCAGCATGAGACAGAAATATTAATATCCAGAACACAAATATCCTCTTAAAGAAAAAGGAAAACAAAAGGTAGGCAGCACAGAGCCCATGTCAGCCAACAGCAGAGACTATAAGTGCCTACTCCTCAGTGCACAATTCCTCAAACAAACTGCAGCAGGATAAAGATCCACATGAGAAACTGGTTTGTAGGTTAAAGAACAATGCCACAGAAGGTACCTCCCTACACTCCTGAAAACATAGGAGGAGAACAGTCACAGGAAACCCAGCATGATGGATAAATAGCCACACATAAAGCTCTCTTGCAATATAATTGGGTCCTACTTGAAAGTAGACATCTTGTTCTTCACAAATAAGGAAGGATAGAAACGAAAACAAAATGTCACCATGTTCAAAGATGGCAAAGTCACGATGATGCATCAGAGCCCAGAGTACACCTACATGGATGTTAGTAGCCTGCAACTCTTGAAAGCAAGAGAAAATACAACATCCAGTGACCAAGTGGATACCACCTGGTCACTGGTGGAAGAGCACATGCCTTAGCTTAAAAAATGGCAGTGATGAAGTGCTGAGACTAAATCCCTGCTTGAGGGGCTTGCCAGAGCCACTTGGTAAGAAGCAGTGGTGTTAGGCATAAGACAACAAACTGTAAACAGCTCGGTCAAGGAGGACATAGCCAGAAGAACTAACATAGTGATGGACAATGGAGTGACATAAACTGTTGGGAGACAATGCTAAGGTACCTCATACTAGCAATGGGACAAAATCTGAAGAGTATGTAGAAGGATCTCTGCCTCTCAGGAAGGCATGCCCCAGAGTCTGCAGATGGCACCCTGTTGCAAGACCTGTGCTCTAATCTAACCCTGCCAATTGCAGACATGAAAAGGCTAGGTCATGACTGTGACAGAATAAAAAAAATCAAATAAATTGTGAATACTCACAAAGTGACAGTGGCACCAAATGAACCTCAAATATTCATGTGCTGCCCAAACACCAAAACCATCCATGTGAGGACGGATTTACTTATTAGAAAGATCCAGCTGAGTTCACTACTATACTAAAGCAGAGAAGATAACATTACTGACACGGGATCACTAAAAGCCTAATGCACATAAAATGCACACATATGAGGCATTCACTAAAGAATAGACCCCCACAGCACAAGGAACAAAATGTGTGAGAATGAATCATTATCTTAAGTAGAGGTCTCTTTATGATTGGAAGGAGTTCTTCATGGAAGCCTGAGAATAAAGTGAGTGGAACAGATGCTGCCTCATGGTGACAGGTGGTAGTGGCAACCAAGTGGCTAACTACCAGTTGGTAACTAGGAGTACCAGAGCAATACTTAGCAGTTTCTTTGATTTTAAGTAATGCTTGGAGGCTTTGGAATGTAGCCTAGGCTCAGAATAGAGAACATTCCTCCTACAATTTTCAATTCTGCATAAATGTTCAAGATAACAAAAATATCAAGTGATTGCAAATTGCTTTCAATGGCATTTTACAGGGCCCTTTAGCACTGTGGTCAGTGCAGTCAGTTAACAACCAAAAGGTCATGAGTTCAATTCCTGTGACAGGACAGATGTTTGAGGATGTTTCCTTTGACCTGATACTCCTATTTGCTAACCAGTAAATAGAAACCCAGGAATTATACTGTTAATAATAATAATGATAATTAATATTGTCACAGAAAGCCTAAGTATATATAAATGCTTTAGGCTTGCATTGAGGTACCCCCGAAGATTGAACTACTATTGACCCTTCCCAGGATGCAACCTCACAACAGTTGTGTAATTTCTGGGTACCTAATTATTGCTAGGTGAACAGAGGAATTAAGTGAAAGGATGCATATCTAACCATTTCTGTCCTGACTGGGAAACAAACCCAGGATCCCTGATTGTGAATTAAGAATGAAGACAGTTGTGGGTTGCATCCTGGGAAAGGGCAGTAGTTGGCCTAGGGGGACCTCACTAAGTCTATCTAACAAGCTTTCTTTTCCTGACAACGGATATGGCAAACCATTTAGGTTGTACTGACAGCCTTCTATCTTGATAAATTTCTTGCACCTCACCAGTGTACAATACAGTAGTTGGATCCCATAATCTGGGGACTCCATATAATTCTTCCAAAGTTTTATTGGTTTAAACACCATTTTCTATTCACCTGTGCAGATTAAAAGGCAGAAAAGGTGGCACAAAACACTTGCCGAAGAAAATAGTAACAGACAGTAAAGAGCAGCAAAAGATGATTATTGGAAGTGTAAATGATGCAGAGAATGAGGAGGATGAAGTAAATGCTGATGACCATGAGTCAGCAATTCTTGAAGGAATTGTGAAGCAGGAAAAACCATCAGATCTGGCTGGCCAGTATGATACATTCCAAGATTGTAAACAAAAGGAATATACCTGCGACTGTGGAAAGGTTAGTTTAGTATATGGAATCTGTTCCCTTTCCATTAAACATTATTGCAAGGTGGTTGTAGTGCAAATGCTTTTCTCTTGCCATATTTATGTATATTACTAACATATGTTGTATTAAGTGAACTGAAGGATGAGATTCTGCCACACTGGTAGTGCATTTCATCATCATTAACTGTTCACTCTGAATTGGTTCACCAGTTGAGTAAAAACCTGTGTTTACTCTCTCAGCCTAGTTGGCAAAAAGCTTACACAGCATACAGTCTGCATTGATTGAATGTTATAGTGTGAGATTAGCACCTTTGGTTAGTGGCTGAGGTGTGAATTTTCCATTGTATTTAGCCAACTGGCCGGCGACATGCCAAAGCCATTCCAACTGTTGCTGTTCTGTTGTGTACTGCTCTCTTGTTACACTGTATACTCAAGTAAAAGTCTCACATAGGTAGTGTGTGCAGGTTAAAAATCCTCCTCACGGCTCCTTTTGACCTTCTCATTGATACATCACATTAGTGTGATTTTATTGTACATTTGAAGAGGAGGTTATCTTAAATTATCTTGAGATGATTTCGGGGCTTAGCGTCCCTGCGGCCTGGTCCTCGACTTGGCCTCCTTTTTGCTACGCACCCTCGGGAAGCAGCCTATAGTAGCTTTCTAACTCCCAAGTACCTGTTTATTGCTAGGTAACAGGGGCATCAGGGTGAAAAACTCTGCCCATTTGTTTCCACCTCCACCGGGGATCAAACCCGGAACCTCAGGACTACAAGCTGAAGCGCTGTCTACTCAGCTGTCAGGCCCCTATTCGATTCCGAAGGTCAGGCCTTCTGTCAGGTCAGGAGTATGGAGGTAGAACTCCTGGACCACAGCCAGAGTGCATTCAGTTGAATCCCAGGTTGCATTGCTTTTGACCATGCCATGGTGAAGTGGTCTAAGATGTGTGCTTGAGGCTCAAAAGTGTGCAGGTTCAAAACTTTATCATGGCTCCTACAGATTTTCTCATTGATATACTACATTAATGTGATTTCATTGTACATAGACAATGTGTATTGTCTTGAGTGCTTCCATGTTTTGAACTTCCCATATGTTGCCAATATTTTCCTCTTCAAATAAGTTTCTGGTGTTTGTGTTAGGATTATATATACCTGTACATACAGGTCTTTTTCTCTTATTGTTTCTTGTAATTGCTTTCCTTTTATGGTATAGTTAAATGCAATAAATTCAAGTCTCTTATCTCCCTTACCCATTTTCATTACTTTAAAATTATATGGACTGAATACCAGCAGCCATTTGTCTGCTCACTCCTGAAGTCTGTCACGGTCTTCTTGTAGCACTCTACAGTCTTCTTCATTTCTTACTCTCCTCATTAACTTTGCATTATCTGCAAAGATTGACATGTATGAGCTCACTCAATCTGTAAGGTCATTTACAACAAACTGGAAAAGGTGCAAAGACATGCAACTAAATGGCTCCCAGCACTGAAGGACAAGAGCTACAAGGTGAGGTTAGAGACATTAAATATGCCAAAAGTAGAAGATAGATGAAAAAGAGGCGATATTATCACTACAGTTGGATGTACAAAATAGTAGTGGGAATCAATAAAATTGATAGAGAAGAATTCCCAAGACCTGGAACTTTAAGAACAAGAGGTCATAGATTTAAACTAATTAAACAAAGCTGCCGAAGAAATATAACAAATTCACTTTCGTAAACATAGTGGTAGACAGTTGGAACAAGTTAGGTTAGAAGGTGGTGAGGCCAAAACCATTAGTAGTTTCAAAGAGTTATACAGTATAATAAAGAGTACTGGGAAGACAGGACACCACGAGCGTAGCTCTCATCCTGTAACTACACTTGGGTAATTACATAAATTAAAAAGACCAATAGTTCTAGGAAAAGATCTGTGATTGTACAAGGTAAGGTAAGGTATTTATCAAAAGAAGGCACCAAACCGGGAAGGCTATGTAGCACCATCAAAGTGCGAAATAATCAGAGGGCGCTAAATATCACCAAGAATGCCAATACGAGAACAAAAATGCATAAGGCGAACGATATCAAAAGTATCCGATTCACCTAGAATTCTATCGAGGGACAAGTGACCGCGAGGGACGGTCGGAAAGCAAGACACACGCTCGTCCTGGAAGTCAGGACATTCAACAAGGATATGCACAACTGTAAGAGGGACAACGCTGTGATTGTACAACTGTAGGAGGATCATAATACTGGAATGAGAAAATCAGTAGGAGCCATGAGACTCCTCATTGATATATCACGTCAATGTGATTTCTTTGTGTATAATAATAATACTACTACTACCTTACCTTGAGGTTACCTTGAGGTGCTTCCGGGGCTTAGCGTCCCTGCGGCCCGGTCGTCGACCAGGCCTCCTGGTTGCTGGACTGATCAACCAGGCTGTTGGACGCGGCTGCTCGCAGCCTGACGTATGAGTCACAGCCTGGTTGATCAGGTATCAGGATCAGGTACTACTACTACTACTAATAATAATAATTTCCATTATTGGGGACAGGAAGCCTAGGTTAAGCTACTTACCGTCCCCAGGATGTATCCTCACAACAGATGCTAAGCGACCTATTTACTAGGTGAACAGAGACATCCTCCTTGGTACCTATTTACTGCTAGGTAAACAGACATATTAGATAAAAGGACATCTATCAACCATAGATGTCCCATCTTGGAATTGAACCCAGGATTTCTGATTATGAGTTGAGAACAAATAATTAGAGAGGTTATATTTTACATAGTGGGCAAACTGTATAGGAGGATAGTGGCTGGAAGAGAACTGAAAATTACAGTACGTATTGATAAATTTAGATTTATCAGTGATAAACAAGGTGGATTGTATTTTTTAATGCTTGGAGACTAGCTGGGGTTGTCTTGGGTTGACTAAATTTCAGTAGAATCCACTTTGGGAGTTGGTTTATATGGAATTACTATATTGAATGTATAGAGAGATGAGAATGAAAATGATATTGTTGCTGACTTTGAAAACTACAGATTATGAAATACAGTAGAGTGTAAAAAGCGATGTATGTGATCTTCAAGGGAAAAAGATGTTCTGGATGTTAGGTAGGTGGATTCCTGAAGTGGAAGTATTTTGTGATGGATAATTTAAATGTTAGTAAAAGTGAAGGGGCTGTACTGTACTCTTATAGTATGAGAGAATCACTTTCTGATTATTTATTAGTATAATATGTAAGTTGATGATATGTATCACATGAGTGGGCTAAGGGGCTGCCTTCTGTTTGACATACTATACTTCATTTGAAATTTAATCAACTGGAGATGGATACAGTATATCAGTTCAGCAGTATTTTGTATGTGCAGCAATGTATACAGTATGTTTTCTGTGGAGAGCCCCTCTTGCTTCCCGGAGCTATACCGGGCTGATATGTATATACAGTATTAGACGGTGGCAACAGTCAATTGATGGAGTTCTTTAGCCTACCGGGGACCATGAGCCAGAACCTGGCCCCCTCAGAGAGGCATGAGAAGCAATGGCCCGTAGACAGCCCCATGTAGTTGGAAACAGTCTATGTCTGCCACTAGTTCAGGCACCCAGAAAGGTAGGAATCCCAAAACAAACTACATCTGATTAAAAATTGCAAACTGAAAGCCAAACGAGCAAGCAGGACTCACTAATGTTATGTGTAGTAGTCAGAAATGCATCCCCCATGGCCATTTAGAATGGGCATGGGCCAGTAGTTAGAAATTCCATGACCCATGGTGGGACCATGGGTCGGGCAACTAGGTTATTTATGTAATGGTTATTTCAGATTCCTACGAATCTGTAGGAATCAAGACCTGGAATTCGACCTCTTGTAGGTCAAGAGGTCTTGTCACAAGACAAGAAGTCTTGTCTCGGCGGCAGTATGAAGTTTCCTGGCGAGTCTTTCGACACTTCTTGACTCTTCGTAGGGTGACTTTGATTTCTGATCGGGTTGTTTTGTCCTTTCCTCACTTGGTAGTTTCAGGACCGTCATCTTATGCTGAATACTGTCGCCTCGTGTCATGCAGCGCTGGCGGAGCCGCTTCAGATTGTGTTCGGGGTGGATGTCACTTCTGCTCCATTCTGCAAGCTTTCTCGGGCATTGTTTCACCTCCAGCCTGCTCATGCGCTGCCTGAGCCGTCCTGGTCATTGGACTGGGTGCTCTCTTTTCTCTCTTCTCAGTTTGTGGTGGCTCCTTCACTTCAGGACTGTTTTTCTAAGGCTCTTTTCTTGTTGGCATTGCCCTCTGGAATTTGGGTCGGGGTGCTTCATGCTCTACTCCAGCACAGGGGTTTTTGCTTTTTTGGCCTGGTGGTACAGTAGTTTTGTTCGTTTGCAGCCGTCTTCTTCTTTTCTGGCGAAAAATGAGACTGCTCCTTTCCAGAGGGGTCCTTGGGTTGTTGATGCTTGGTTGGTTCGGCCAGGGGTGCATCATAGTTTGTGTTCGGTTGTGGCTCTTCGCTGTTACTTGCTCGCCACAGCCTCCATGTCAGGGGACACACTTTGTGTTGACCCAGTTTTCCCTTCCCTGTTCCAGGGCGCAGGTTTTCCAGGTCGTCCATAGGATTATTCAGTCCAGCCAGCCTGTGGTCTTTCCCCATGCCCACGACATTCATAAGCTCGTGGCTTTGGCTGCTGTTTTTGGTAATATGTCCTGAGCTGACATTCAGGCACAGAGTTTTTGGAGGTCGAACAGAGTCCTGGCCACACGGTACCTTGTTAATGTTCTGTGCCTTTCTCGGGCATGTGTAGCCTTGAAATTGAATTGAAATTGAAATAAGTTTATTGAGGTAAAATACACACAAAGGGATGAGGTAGCTCAAGCTATTCTCACCCCGTTCAGTACCACGTGTTAGTACATACATAGACACACATCACAAACAATAAACATGTTACCAAACATTCTGAGAGATAAACATATACATTTCCTCCTTCACAAGTAGTATGGTATCAGACGTACACACAAATACTTTTATGACCTAGTTATACTGTATAGACAATTTGCAAGAGACATGCAGATAATTCAACAAAATATTATAGTCTTGGTGCAAAATTCTTATATCTCTCAAGAATATCATCAACCTTTCCGTTGTGACACATCCAGGCTATTTGTTCCGGAACAGTCCTTATCTCAGTGTTTCTATATACATTAATCAACGGACAATCAAGAACATAATGGGCAAGGGTGTGAGACCTTAACATACCACATAGTTTACACTTCGTGTCATTATCATGAACACCTATCCCATATTAAGCCTTGGGTCGCAGGTTGCAGCCAATTGTCTCAACTTTGAGTTGTGGAGCGAGTGGCAGTCGCCTCCTGGGTAAGTCCCTCTTTTCCTTTATCTTTGATTAGGTAGCTCCGGGGAGCCGGACGGGCTCTCCACAGAAAACCAGTGTTGAATGTAATGAAATGCCATTTTCTGGGTGAGACCTGCAGGCTTCCCAGCATCCCTCCTTCTGGTTTGTGTTTTTTTTTTTGCATTTTGATATTCAGCCTCTGAACTGGGGTTGGGTAGCCAGCACGGGAGGTCTGCCCCCCCCCCCTTTCCCCCTACCAGGAAGGGGGAAGCTTGTTTTTCTGATTTTTAACCAGCTGTAGTTTGTTTTGGGATTCAAAAACATGAGCCTGAGCCTGACCTGGTAGATGGCAAACAGACTGCTTCTAAATACATGGGGATGTCTATAGGCAAATGCTCCTCGTGCCTCTCTGAGGGGCCAGGTTCTGGCTTGTGGTTCCCGGTAGGCTAAGAACAACATTGATTGACTGTTGCCACAGTCTAATATAGATACACATCAACCCGGTATAGCTCCAGGGAGCCTCCGGGTCTCACCCTGAAAATGGGGTTTCATTACATACAATGCTGGGTTTTTTCATGATTTTGGAAGAATCATGATTTTCATGATTTGGGAAGAATCATGATTTTCATGATTTGGGAAGAATCAAGATTTTCATGATTTGGGAAGAATCATGATTTTCATGATTTGGGAAGAATTACTATAATGCTGAAAGTTAACAAGAATTAACAAATCTTTTATTCAGACTGTAAGAGGCCTTGATGTATTTGTGGAGCATCAGTTACGTGAAGGATGCAGGGTCAAGATTAATGAGTACTCTTGCAAGTATTGTGGCTCTGTATTTGCTGAAAAAAAATTGTTGATTGTCCACAAGAAAGCGTGTATTGAAGCGTCTTTGATCAATGGAGCCCATGAATGTGACATCTGTGGCAGAAGGTATGATTATATTTAGTAATTATCTGTACAGTACTTCCAAATCTTTATACAGTATTATGACAACCTTTAGTAATTACCATTTCAGGAAACAATTTAGCTGATTGGTTCAACCAAGGAATTTAAATAAATGAAGGATTCTTTAATTTTTCTTCTACTACAAAGGTTGTTTTCCCATTCTTGTTCTTCCATACTTGTACTGTAATATCCTTCCATGTTTTATCCATTCTACTTTTTCATTTGTATCAGAGTGCTGCAGGCATTTTTCATTTTTAGTACACATTCTTGTTTTCTAGTGTCAGCAAGGGTGTGACCGATTCACTTTTACACTGTATAAGCCAAATAAATGTGTAAAAGTCTAATACAAATGTTTCATGTGACCATTTATTGAAAAATTAGGCATCAAAGATATTAGCAGATAGTTTTTGGAAAGAGACTCAAGAGTCTTCTTGTATTGTGTGTCATGCAATATACTTAGTAGATATGACATGTGTATATATAAATATTGTATATCTTCTGAAGTAAACATAATATAGATTTTAACATTTTTCCAGATTTCTGGTTCGTGGTCGAGTAGAAACTCATAAGAGAAATGTCCATAGCATTGGGACTTCTCACAAGAGAAATGTCCATAGCACTGGGACTGGTGACCAACAGTTATGCAGTTATTGTGGTCGCACATTTGGGTCAAGCTATAACATGAAAAATCATCTTGCTCGAGAACATGGTATTGGGCAAATTGAAGTGGTATGCTAGCAATTTTAAAGGTTGATATATTAAGATTTAATATAAGTAATTGTAATTGAGTACTTCATTGTGATTAAAATCAGTTGAATAGAATTGTGTTTCTGGGGGAAACCCCGTCGGCTCCCCGGAGCTATCCAGGCTGATATGTACTTATTTAGCTTTCTGGCATCAGTCAAAGTGCATGGAGTTCTGCCTACCGAGGACCACAGCCAGAACCTGGCCCCCCTCGGAGAGGAGCAAGGAGCAATGGCCTATAGAAATCCCCATATGGTTAGAAGCATTCTATGTCTGCCATCGACCGGATCTGTCATCCAGAAGGTAGGCGTCCCAAAACAAATCCCCTATACTGGTGAAAAAATTGCTACTGAAAGCCGAATGAGTGGACAGAACTCCCCAAAAGAAAATTAGCATGATGTCATCATGTCGCGGCGCCACTGTCTGAGCAACCCCAACCCCCTCCCCAGGAGGGGAAAGGGGGAGCCCCAGACCCTCGTGCCGGCGATTCAACCTGCAGTTCTTGGCTGATGTGATTCCTGGCTGGTCGAGTGCCTCAGGCTCCAGTTTTTGTTCTCAGTTACTGTGCTTTGTGGCGTAGTCTGTCTCTACAGGGTGTGTGAGAGTCAGGAGTAATATTCTATGGTACTCGGGCTGCATGCGCTTAGGGTTACCTTCCCTAGGTGCCCAGTAAGTACTTCCCTTGGGGCTTGGGGTCATCTTCCACAAGTCACCTTGGGGTTTACCTCTGCTGTGCTTTTTACTGCTCAGTACTTGGCCATCCTTGGAGTCAGCTCGGGTCTTGTTGCCATTGTTTGCCTCTGGGTAGGGGGTTGTTTTCATCACTGGTAGGGGTGCGGCATACTGCATAGCTAAGTTTCACCAATTATAGTGGCTGGCTCTGTTCCACCTGGGTACGTTGTCCTCTTGTGGGGCCTTTCTTTTGTTTTCCTGCCAGGTGGGGGGGGGTCTGCCATTGGTTACCCCCCTTGGTTCTTTCTTTTCTATATATTGTGTACCCCCTGCTTGGTCTCTGAGTGGACACTTCTCGGGGGTTCAGCTCTAGAAGTTTGCTTGATGGTTTTGGGCGCCGGTTCGCTGTACCCTGCCTGGGCTTCCCTTAGTGTGTTACCAAGGCTAAGGGCCCTGGGAAACCCCATGGGGCTACGCGGTCCAGTTGATGTGACCCCTGAGTCCCCTCTCACTTCGTGTGAGGTTGAAGGTTTCTCTGTTCCCTTGTCTCGGGTTGACACTCACCGGTTTTGTCTCTGCCATGCTGTCTGTTGGGTCGGTGAATCGTTTGAGCCGGAGTCGTGCGATGTTTGTTCTTTGCACGTACTCCAGTTCAGCCAAGCTACTGAACATGATATGAGGGGTGCAGGCAGTGCAGGCATTGAATGCTTGGTTTAGATTGCTGCAACGAGATAGGTTGGTTGCTTCCCAGGATGCCCCGAGACTGCCCTGTTTTGGTTATAGGAACCCGGACTTGGGGGTGGGAGTTGCTTCGACTTTGGTTCCCTCTGCTACTCCTTGTCCTTTCCCTTCTGTGGTTCATCCGGTTCTTTTCCCCCTTGCTTCTGGCTCCTAAACATCTGAGGGTTTTGGAGTCAGGTGCTGGCTTCTTCCTTGGAATTCGCTTGGGCCTTGGCTCTTAGGTTGTCTTTGCCCTTTTGTCCATTGATATTTGCAGTCTGCAGTTGTACAGTATCTGCAGGCAGCTTCGACTAGTTGTCGTTCTATGTCAGACTTGCTAGTCCTCTGGGGAGTTCGTGAGGGGGCCTTCCCGGAAGGGTCCTGTCAGGGCTCGGGGTTCTTCTTGTCGTGGTAGGCCGGTGGTGCCAGATTTGAGGCAGGTGCAGCCTTCAGTTCTGTCTTTTTCTGGTCATCGCAAGGATTTCCTTGTACACCGCTTGGGTTCTCATAAGGTGTGTCGGCCCTTTCACAGTTTGGCCCATTGATGGGACGATGGGAGGAGGCTTGCTCTGTTTGCTCGCGCCTGGTCCCATGATTTGTGGGCTTTTCGGGTCATTTCGTGTGGCCTGAAGTGGCGTTGGGTAGTTCCTCCTCCTTCGGGAGGTTCGGCGTTGTCGGGGCAGGCCTCTTCTTCTAAGCCCTGTCGAGTCATCTCAGAGTGGGTTTGCTTGGGCGTGGTCGAAATGACCTCAACTCTCAGGTGGGTTGCTCGCCTGTTTCCAGTCCCGAAATGAGACTGCGCGGACCTCCGGTTCATTCTGGACTTGTCCCATCTGAACCCTTGGGCTTATTGCCTCTCCTTTCGGTTGACTATTCTGTCCCTGGTTTGTCTTCCATTGGAACCGGGCGCTTGGATGGTGTCCTCAAGGACATGTATTGGCACGTCACAATTCATGCGAGGTTCAGGGACTGGCTCGGTTTTGTTGTGGGGGCATCAAGGTGACCGCTTTTGTTGCCTTCCTTTCGGGTTGAATCTGACGCCTTGCATTTTTTACATGCCTTACGCAGGTCGTGGTGGCCTGTCTGCGTCTGTTAGGTGTTCGGGTTCTGACCTACCTCGAGGACTGGCTAGTTTGGGCTCCCAGCCAGTCTAGACGCGTGTCTGTTCGCCAGGGATTTGGTTCTTTCCCAGCTAGCCGGGTTCGGGTTTCTGGTTAAATTGCGGAAGTCCCATCTGGTTTCCTCTCAGGTTCGGTCTTGGCTGGATCTTGTGTGGGACGTTCGGACCGCTTCTTTGTCTCTGCCTCCGGCAGCTCTCCTTCGCCTGCGTTCCCGCCTTCGTCTGTTTCTGAGGGGCTCCCAGGTAACGCGGCGGTTGCTCGAGGGTTTGTGCGGGAGCCTGAAATTTGCCATGATGGTCTACCCACCGGGTCAGGTGTGGCTCCGTCAGCTGTTCTGGTTCCTTCGGGGACGTCCCTTCCGTCTCTCTCGCGACCACTGGGTTCGGCCTCTGGGGCTATACGTTGGTTGCTGTGTCGTCGGCTTCCTCTTCAGGTTCTTTGGAGTTCAGTGCCTTGGCGCCTACCTGAGCCCTCGCTCGATGTGTTCACGGATGCGTCGTCTCTGGGCTAGGGTTTTGTGACCAGTGCGGTTCATCCTTCCATCGGGCTCACAGCACAGTGCAGGAGTTCGCGGCAGTGTGGATGTCGCTCTGGAGGGTTCGGGTTATTGGTGGATCGATGATCCGGCTCCATTCGGACTGCTCCTTGGCGGTTCATTGCCTGAACCGGGGGAGTTCAATGCGGTCCTTGGCTCTTTGGGGCTGGTCACTTTGGGTGACTCGTCTGCTGAGTTCTCGGGGTTTGGCTCTCCTGGCGGTTCATGTTCGGGGAGTATCCAGTGTCCTGGTGGACGGCTTGTTCCGGTTCATTCCCCTGTCCAGGGAATGGACGGTTGACGCTGACTCATTCCGTTGGCTCTGCCAGATGTTCAGGGTCTCCAGAAGTGGATCTCTTCACGTCGGCATGGTCGAGGCGTCTCCTAGTATACGTGGCGCCTTTCTCCGGCTTCAGGCAGAACTGGGTGAGGTGGGGTTACCTGTACCTCTTTTCCCCAGTTCAGCTGTTGCTCCAGGTCCTGACTCGCTTGGAGACTTACCAGGGAAGAGTTATCATCTGGCTCCTTGGTGGCCGGCCGGCCCAGTCTTAGTTTCAGGCGTTGCTTGCTCGGTGTCCGAACCCGAGGGTCTTCCCGCGGCTCTGCCTCTTTCAGCAGATTGATCCAGCCCGATATAAGGCTGGCTCATTCTTCTCCTTCAGTCTTCGCGTCTGGAGTTTTTGACTTGAGTCTATCATAACTTGTATGGAGCGCAGGTGGCTTCATTGTTGGTCTCCCACCTGCGTGCTTCATCTTGGCAGCAGTATGAAGTTTCCTGGCAGTCCTTCCAGTTTTTCCTATCACTGCATTGGTGTACTTCGGTCTCTGTACCTTATCAATATCAACCATATCTTCGGATAAGGTTGTTTTGTCCTTCCTCACGTGGTTGTTCCACGACCGTCATCTTAGGCTGAATACTGTCGCCTCGTATCGTGCGGCACTGGTGGAGCCGCTCCAGCTTGCATTCGGTGTTGGTTACTTCTGCCCCATTCTGCAAGCTATCTAGTGCATTATTTCACCTCCGGCCTGCTCATGCTCCTCCTAAGCCATCCTGGTCTATGGACCGAGTGCTCTCTTTTCTCTCTCCTCCACAGTTTGTTGTGACCCCCTTCGGTTCAGGTTAGTTTTTCTAAGGCTCTTTTTCCTTCATAGCTTCAAAACTTCTCATTCATATTCTCAGTTTACTTATATATATAGAGTACCGGGGTTAAAGTAGGCAAGATTCACCTCACACATCATTGTGAGCATTATTGGTTATTATTAACCACACATTATTGGCAGCAGTACATATTTATCAATCAGATAGTCTCTGTGGCGTAGTGGTAAGACGCTCGCCTGGCGTTCCGCAAGCGCTTTGTCCTGGGTTCGTATTCTGGCCGGGGAGGATTTACTGGGCGCAAATCCTTAACTGTAGCCTCTGCTTAACTCAACAGTAAAATGTGTACTTGGTTGTAAAAAACGATTCTTTGCGGGGGTCGTATTCCAGGGAACATATGATTAAGGACTTGCCTGAAATGCTACGCGTACTAGTGGCTGTACAAGAATGTAAGAACTCTTATATATATATAAATAAAAAAAAAAAATATCTTTCACACACGATTGCCTAATTATAAAACTGGATACTCCTTTATATGTTCATCCATTTATTCATTTCTCCAGCTTAACCTTCGTGCACCATTGCCTCAAATATTACATAATTTTATAAAAAATACATTTCTAATAAACTAATTTGTAAAGAATGTACTGTATTAAACTTCCCGTTCTTACACATTCTTTATGCATTATATTTAGCTTATACTGCACTGTATGTAGTTCTAACAATTTCAAATTGGTTTCTTGTTACTTTTACAGGTTGTCTGTGAGTTATGTGGTGGGAAATTTTCTGATCATTCAAGTTTACGTAACCACATGAAAAACATTCATGGGGAGCGGAAGTATTCATGCGAGACCTGTGGAAAAATGTTTGCTACTCCTGGCATGCGCAATCATCACATAAATGAGATGCATAATAATACTTACAATTATGAATGCAACTTATGTGGTGAACAGTTCCATGTTAGTTTCAAATATAGGTATGTATGTACAACATTAAACTGTATTTTTCATCTAAATATCTATATACAATATCAGATCCCTTGTTTATCACAGGTTTTATTCCAGGCTGAGTTTATGAGTTTGTTGTTTAGTTACATGCATCTCTAATAATGTTCAAGTTTAAGAACATTTATTAACCTTCAATCAGAAGCTGGAATTCATTGAAATAATTATTGGCTTATCGCAAATGAGTTCAAAGACTGTGTAACATACTTCCGGAGAGCATCAGCTGCTCTCAGGAAACTAATTTGTCTCTTAATTTGGTGACTTTTTTCAAGCTATTTTGTTCGGTTGCCCTCCTAAGACAAGATCCACTGCTCTCTGAAAAATCATCAGGGCAGCTGATATTCTTACTTGATGTCCATCAGGGAACTTTTTAAGGAGGCCCTGTAAGGTCTTTAAAAGTGCTAGGCACAGCTGTATCAGGTGCATTCCATTAAAGCTGGAAGCTGTGTTAGAATTCTCTCTTGTGATCGAACACAAGGAGTTTCTGAACAGAGTGCTTATTGGGCCTGTTCTTACTCAAAACATGGAAAAATTGTAGCTCCATGTTTTCCAGGTTACTTTTTTTCAGCCGTACCTCATGGTGACAAAATTGATGGGTCATTCCTTCTATGGCTGATGTTTTGAAAATATTCTCTTGCCAGCTCATTTTTATCCCCCTAGCCTCAGGTAGGGGGACACTTTGCAGGGAATTGAATTTAGGATTCTGGTTTCTCTTATGCTGTCAAAGCAGCTAAGGCTTTGCTGAAGCTCTGTTTACTTTTTTGACTTTGTTGCAGACTTTTGCCACTTGTCCAGCCTGCAGGCACCCGAGGATAACCAAGACATTAGGGCATGTGAACACTGCTCCATAATAGGGTGTCATTATTGTATATCTTTAATTTTATTTTCCTTTACTATTCTTATGTTGTCTTTGAGTTAATTAATGCCTCTCCACTTGATGGAAGTGAGAAATGGTAATTATGATGATGCTGATTTAGCATTCTGGAGTTTTGGAAGAAAACTCATCTTCAAAGTTGTCTATGTCCAAAATAAACTAGTCTTTTATGTAACAGACTAGATAATATACCTGGTGGGGTCTGGGGTGATCCCAAAAGGCTGCACCATGGGCTCCAACCCTCCTTAAAGAGGGGGGACAATAGGGCCAAACCCCATATAACAATCCCTGTTACGGCCTCACTTAGCCAGTAACCGGGTTCTTTCCATTCACACTTTCTATGGGGCCTTAGTGCCTCTTCTTACCAGATCCAACCCCAAGTCATAGGTAAGTTATCAAGAACTGAGTAGGAATAGTCAATCCAATGTCGTGACGCTGAACCCCGGTTCATTCCGAACACAGCGATTACACAACACATAACACCTTGCCTCAGCAACCGTTACTACCACCTATACTCCTACACACACCAGACCCTTGAGGCATACCACTCGGTTTGTACTGGAACACAATGAATGAACATATGGAAGGTATTTAAAGGCCGTCGGGTTTGTCATTTAATTACAAAGAATAGACTCTGACAAATAAATACATATTAACATACTCTATTAGGTCAATACACTTCCAATACCCATAGACCACTTGACCTCCGCGATCACCACCCACACTCGTAACTTCCGCCTAAGTCCCTAATACGGAATGATTACTACAACGCTCCACACCCGGTTAGTCTTACATTCAATACTCACATACTGCAGACTTAACTTGGTCACTAAGATCACATCAGGTTCTCGCATAGCTGTCTGCTACACTTCGTTGCTGCCGCAAACGGGGATCCAGAGGACTTGCCAGTTCAACTCCCACAATCAGACTGACTCCAGCCAACCATGGCCTCCAACATTTCACCACGCCTCTCGAGGAAGGTATAATCCGATTAACCTTATCCCTAGAGCGGTAACCTTGATCCTAGAAGCCTGACGAAGAATAATTCCTCTTTCCAGGAATTATTAATTTGGCTAAACAGCTTCGGTCTTAATCCATTGACCTTTCTTAGATATGTGATCCATAGTCTGTCTATTTACATGTACTTCCAATCATCATTCGTTAAGTGTTGTAGTAATGCTCCTCTAGCTAATAATTCCTACTAACTTGTGGATTACAACACCAATGGGAATGGGGGTAAACAACATTAAACAAAACCATCACCACATGTATTTCTTAACTATATACACTAATTACATATGTACAACACATGACACCATAGGTGTTATTTTCACACAGAACACTACAAAAGAACTTCTGCGATCTTCTATCCCAGCAAGTGTACTTCTATCTTCTATCGTAAAACACTCAAGGTTCCTTCCCTGAGCCTTTCTTCTATGGTACTCATGCTGGCGCGTCCACCTTTCTCAGTAAATCATGGGCTATTCCTCCACAGTGTCAAAATACCCCTTTTGACTCTCCAGCAACATGCTGGCTGGTCTCCAGCAACACACTAGCTGGTCTCCAGCAACACACTAGCTGGCTTTCCCTAAAGGCTTCACCTATAAAAAGCCTTAACTTAGAGGACAGACAGACATTAATTCCATCTAAAAACAACTGGGCCATCCCAGGATACATTGGTCCAATCACAAATATTGTACTTAACTGGTTATCACAGACAATTCACAGTCTTCACCGACTTGGCCCACTTGTTTCCGCTGGAGCAAGTCGAGTTCTGAACTGCCCTGGGTGAACTGACTTTTGTTGACCAAGGTACCTTCCACATTACTTCTGAGGAGTACAAATTGTAGAGTAAGAATGAAACTACACTGGTGTCGGTAAGATCATAGCCTTCCACCAGGGAAAAAAAATATGGTCGGGTGCGCTCAACAGATGACGTTGACATCATCACAATCCCCCACACCCACCAGTCACACTGCAAAGTTTAATGAGACTAGACCCAAACTTTTGGTCTCTAACCCTAGACAAACAGACATAAATCTATATCTATAAAATATAATGTTTTCTGAGGTTGTTCTAGTATTTATATGTTCCAAGGTTGTTCTAGGATTTATAAATTCCAAGGTTGTTCTTGAATTTATATGTTACAAGGTAGCTTAAAATGCTAAAATTGTGGACTGTGGCCCACTTTCCCCTAACTGCATGGGAGTCACCATGGGAGCCAACTCCTCTTAAAGGGGAGGCAATAAGGCCGACCCCAACCCCCACCAGTCTGGCCTCCAACCTTGGTCCAACATATTCAGTTTTATAGATATACAGCAAATAAGTTATTTTGATTAAGTATTGACCAGTTTACATTATTTAGTTTTGTCAAATATTAAATGATGACCATTAATTTGCCTTGTCTATTTTTTAGGTATCACATGCGGAAAATGCATAACACTCTTCAGTATGCTTGTGATGACTGTGGACGAACCTTTATCATGCGCAGTGACCTCTTCCGACATGTTCGTGGTGTTCACATGGGAATACGTGATCCCAAACGCTATCCATGTAAAGTCTGTGGTCGACTCTTTCCCAGTAAATATAAGGTAAATACTGTACTATATTTAATACAACATTACAAAAGTATTTTCATTACCCAATTTCTAACTTTCATGGGGTGGGTAGATACGAGCAGAGGAAAATAAAACTAATGTACTAAAAGGAAATTATACACTGATAACTTATTAATTTGTATCATATCAGGCAGATTATTATCTGAATTACCTAATTATAATTTATGTTACTAATTTAAAGCTAGCTAGGTATATGATTAAACATAATAATACAATATAAATAAAAAATATAATCATATAAATACACTATAAACAAATACAAGGAATAGTATCAGTAGGGATGTGAATAGCAGGACAGAGAAATGTTCTTTAACATTTAAATTAATAATACTTGGAAGGCAGCAAGTCATCAGTAGGCAAGTCGGTTCTCAGTAGCTACTGAAGTCAGCCACCGTTAGTCAACAATTCATCAGTAGTCACTCAAATTAGCTAGTCATTATTAGTCTGTCATCAGCAATTGAACAAGTCAGTGATCAGTAGCCTACTAAGTCATCAGTAGTAAAGTTAAGTAGCATGCAGTCAACTTCTTCCCAGCACTTCACCATTTACATTAATCTTATATAATTTTCTTCGCTCAATAACTAACTTTTGTCCACATTCACAGTGCTATGTATTGCAGTGTATTGTAACTTTACCAGACTGAGCTATGGAACCCATTCTGAACTTTCAAGGTTACCATTTTATTTTGGTTTTTGCCATTTCTTAACAATTTAAAAAAAAAAATTTTTGAGCCAACCTTTTCAGTAGTTCCCAGGAATTTACCTACTCTGACACCTCATGCATCCTCTCCCTACACCTGTCTGGCTTATGAGACTTTCTCAGCTCACTTTGAGCAAGTACCAATGTTTTGCCCTTTCATATGTGTGTGTGGAGCATGAAGGGACCAATGATCAACCCAATACTGAAGTGAAATGCCCAGAAAACAAAGAATCATGAGAAACCATCCCACTTCTTCTTTAGAAAATGGTTAGGAAAATCAAACTACCCAACCAATCATTGGAAAATGGAAAACTACAGTATCCCTCTCTTAACTTCTTCAGCAGCCACTAGGTAGCAGCCCAGGTCACCTAGGCTTTTGGCTATCTGGCCTCTTCTCTATCTCACATGGTGTCCTCACCCCCTTTTGCTGTTGTGTAGAGGAAAAATATAAGTGTGAACCTGTTTCTGTATATTATACAGTGGTACCTTGGTGTACGACTGCCCTAGAATACAATTTTTTTGGTATACAACTTCAAATTCATTGTAAAATTTGAATTGGTGTACGACATTTTACTTGGAGTACAATGCCTGTTGATATGTGCATGGGTCGAATGAGCGCGTGGTGCTGGGGGCGCAGGGTGAAGCATGCTCAGTTGTTTACCAGTATATCCCATAGAGTGATGACCGCTCTTGAATTCTTTGTAACGAATTTCATTGTTTTCCTGTTTTGTTTTGTTTCTGAACATAAAAGTTTTTATTATATATCACCATGGGTCCCAAGAAAGTCTGTGGTAAAGTTCAACCTAAGAAAAAAGTTGTGAGGATGACGATAGAAACAAGAGATCATTCAAATGAATGTGATGTCTCACTACAGACACATGTTAAAACATAAGAAAAAACAAGTGTCTTTAAACAGAATCTTAGTAAGACAAACAAGTAGTGAGCCACAACCAGGTCCTAGTGGTATGCCTGCAAAATGTAGGAGAGAGAGTACCCAGAAAAGTCTATCACTGCCTGATGCTATAATGGAAGGGGATTCCCCTTCTAAACACTAACACCTCTCCTTCTCCCCACCTACAATTATTAGTAGTATAGGTATTAATTACAATTAGCAGTCTCACAATTACACTTAGGTAATTACCTCCTCACTGTAGTACAAAATATGAGTGGTATTTGGTATAAAATGTATTTTTAAGTTAATATTTTTGGGTGAGAGGAACAGATTAATTAAATTTACATTATTTCTTATGGGAAATTTCATTTTGGGTTACGATTTTTTGGTGTACGATGCATCTCTGAGAACAGATTAGAATTGTAAATGAAAGTACCACTGTACTTGGAAGTTTATACTTGGTTTTGTTTTTAAAAATAATAAGATTGAATATAGCAATGTTTTTGTTCATTTTGTATGGTGTAAGCACATGAGAAATTGGTTTATTATAGCTGATCTAAAGATTAAATTTCTATAATCATATGTGCTTTATTGAATGTTTAGCATTGATATACTTGAAGCACCTAACTAAAATATATGAAAATATTCAAGCTTGGTTTACCCAGAGACTACAGAGTGGTTTGAATATAATAAAAATTTTGTAATGAATATACTATCTTAAAAATATTTCTTATTAATACAGGTTGTACGTCACATGAGCAGCCATGGATTCTTGGCATCTAAAGTTGACAAGAACATATTAGAACAGCATGTTACTCAAGCTGATTCTGCTAACACTCAACACGAACAGAATGAATCAGTTGTTACCGCAAGACTGACTGAGGTATCTACAGACAATAGCGATGGAACAAGTATTGATGTCCATCAGCTTCCAGTTTCTGAAATATACTCTGTAAGTGTATCACTAGATATTCAGATATTTTTGACAAAGTTGTGATTTTATTATGGTATAAAAGTGAGAGCAAGCTTTGTAAGTACAGTATAAGAAAAGAGGACAGAGCAATACCTAAGAAACTGGTAAGATGCAGAATAAGCAGAATACTTTGTTATGGATTTATGGATGAAGTACTGTATATGCAATTCAGTAGCATGTGAAGGGATATGAAAAAGACTTTGGTTTACATAATTTTATGGATTTTTTAGAAAAACATACTGGTAGTGATATGATTGAACAAAAAAGGATTGTGGAATATGTTGAGCTTGTCTGTAGTGGAAGATATGCTGTTAAATGCAATAAGAGTGTTTTTCTGAGCTCGATCACTTGGTTACTACCTTAGGGAACGTTCTGCTCTCAAAAGACATGACCAAACAACAGCCAGTCCAGGTAGATAGCACTGTAGGAATCTTTGCAAATTGCCTTACCAAACAGTAACCTGTAGAAGATTCATTCATATACACTCAACTTCCTTCAAGCAATATTCAGCTTCAAAGAGACTATCAAGTATCACTTTACTATCATTCTGCTAATTATGGAGAGAGCCAGATTCAGTGTTGTTCTCCAAGGCCTGGTGCACTTCTTCAGGCTTGGCTACACCAGAGCTCCAGCTAAGGGAAGCTAGCATGGACCCACCAGAAAACAGCATTTCATTACATTCAATTCTATAGTTTTGCATAAGTACAGTTTTTACAAATAAAAGCAGGAGAATAGTAAAAAACTTGGCTGAAAATATGATGACCAAACCATACATCTGAAAATGAAGAACTAGCGATGTTTCTGTCCGTCATGGACCATTATCACATTACATTACTTGATAATGGTTCAGTATGGACAGAAACGTCGTCATTTCTTAATTTTCTGATGTGTGGTTTGGTTATCAATAGTAAAAAAAAAAAAAAAAAGATAACTTGAAATATGAGTTTGCTTACACTGAGACAGGTTGGTGAGGTGGATACCATATTTTGGCTTACTGAGTTGGCTTACTGTCTATAAGCAAAATGTTTCCAGCTCTTGAAGTGTATTGTAATTAATAAATACTGGGGTAATTTTCAGGCCCCAAAAGTATTGCTTTCTTTAGTAAATTATAGAACCTATATTTTTGTATATATTGATATCAATAAACAAAAGCCTGCCTTGCAGGCTGGTTGGTTGATTTGGTTGGCTGGCTTGTTATTTGGCTGTTTAGCTGGCTGACTGGTTATTTGGCTTAGTGGTTGACTAATTTGCTGGTTATTTGGCTGCCTGCCTAGCTGGTTGTTTGACTGGCTGGTTGATTGAATGTTGTTGTTTAGCAGGTGAGCTGGTGGTTTGGTTGGTTGGTTAGCTAGCTGATTATTTGGTTGGCTTCTTATTTAGCTGATTGTTTGGATGGTTTGTTGTTTGATTGGCTTGCTAATTTGTTTGATTAGCTGGTTGACTAGTTGAGCACTAGACCATGCAAATGCATGTAGGCAAGTACTGCTCAGGTCAATAATTTAAGTGGCAGTTGGTGTTGATTGGTTCTTGATAAGAGAAGATGCTTACATGTCAGAATCTACAGGAGGAGAGAGATTATCTGTGCCAAGCCTCCTGTCTTCATGTGTTCAAATGGTTAAGATATATTTTCAATGGCTTATTTAGTTGTTTACAGGCAGTGCAAGGGTTCATGTGTGGGGTCAAGTGTTTGCATCAACACTATACCACTAATTTGTTCTTTCTGTCCATCTATTCCTATTGTATTTTCTACAGTAAAGTGACAAAAATAAACAAAAAGACATTTCATGAAGCCTTCAGCTAGGGTAGCAAATCATAATTCATCCCATTTGATGGGGTTACATAGTTAGCTCTCAACCAGTACTCTAAACCCTCATATAGACTATGTTAACTACACTGCTCTACACTGAAATTGTAAAAAAAAAAAAATCATAATTCATCTAGTTAATAAATTGGGTTTGCATATCATAATTGTTAAGGAATTTTATTTGTTATACCTGGTATGTTTTATTTTTTATAAAATAAGTAGACTATGGAGTGACAGAGCAATGACTACAAACAAATAAACACTCGAACATGGAAGGGACGAAGGAGGGAGTTAAGTGGACATTTCTTGGGGGAAGACTTGACTCAGATTGGGATAATATTACACCAGATTATACTGTAGGTGAATATAGTATTACAACACATTTAAATATATGCAACATTAAGCTTAAAAGCAAAATTTTGTAAACTGTATAGGCTAATTTACTATAAACAAAGAGTAACATTAAGAGACACAATAGAAGGTGTGTGTGCGCATATGCATGAAAAGGAGGTGGGTGTGTAAAGGCACAGTTCCACAACACAGCAAAAGTCTTTGTAAAGATCTTTCAAATCCTGAAAATCCAGAGTTCTGAACCTGTTGTTATTTCCAGAAAATCATTATACTATATTGAATGTTGATAAATTTAACATATTCTGTACTATCTTTATGTTATTCCCCCCTCTCTTTATTATCTCTTATGGCATATCTTTATCAACAGGGACCTCATATCACAACACTCACACCTGAAATACTACAGAGTGGGGTGACCCAAGACATGGTTGCAACAGAAACTATGGTTGTTGGTTCAATGTCAAGCATTGTAGTCTCTACATCATCCATCCCAGAGAGTATCACAGCTGAGCTTCACCATCCCAACCATGAACCTCACCACCACCACCAGAATCATCAGGAACCACACCATCATGAGCAAACACCAGACCCTGATCAGCATTTTCGCAGAGGAAATTCGTTAATGCAACAGTCTTTAACTTCATCCATCATTCCAGTGCAACAAATGATTGTGATCCAAGACTCGGTCACTCTTCCAGGTCATAGTGAATTTTCTGTTCCAACACCAACAAGTCAAGTCATCTCTGTTCCACAGTCTACAAGCCAGGTAATATCTGTTCCACCAGGTTCAGGACAAGTCATATCTGTTTCTCACTCAAATAGCCAGGTCATCTCGGTTCCAACAGTCAGTAGCCAAGTTATTTCTGGCACTATTAACACACCTCAAGCTTTTGCTGTGCCTCTACCTCAACATACAAATCAAGTCAATAGTCAACAAAAGCTTCCTGCAATACATTATCAGTATTTTTCTTCCTAAAATAGTTTATTTATCAAAGATGTGTTTTACAGAAAGTATAATCTATTTCAGATTTATTGACAGTAAATGACGTTATTTTTTAATCCTCCAATTGTCATTATCCAATGTCAGTTGTAGGAATGAAGGTGCTCTGTTGAAGTAGATGTAGAGGAACAAAAAGTATTTGTACATTCTGTAGTTACCAATAAACATTAAAGAGTTTAACATGAATTGTTTTAATTCTACAGTCGGTGACTAGTAAAGATATCAGAACAATATGTGAACATTAATATTAAAGTGTACATGCATTTATCCAAAAATTTGTAAACTTTATTAATGTATAATTTAACACATACAGTAGTGCATATTTGCCTACAATTTCATATTAAAATCATAAGGTAAAGACATTTCTAATACAATATTGTGTTACAAAAAATTAAACTTTAAAGAAATAAATGTTTCTCCCTTACCTTTGTTGGGAAGACCAGCTGCCCTTTCACCCTTAGCTTGCTATGATTTTGAGCTGAAGACCTTTTTCTGCTACTACACTTGGTTGCTCCCTATCAGTTCTGCTTCATCATTCTTTTGATGATCCTTCTGACAGAACAGCATTGTTGAAAATTATCACACAATATTTGTTTCTTGTGAATTAATAGAAAAACTGGAAAGTTTGAGGCAAATAGCACATAATTTTAGGCACTAGAATTAGACCATCTCAAAAAATATTTTCTTATCAAATTATGTTAATACCAAGGATCTACCTCAGTAGATCCTCAGTGCACCAGCTTCTGGTGCTGCAGAGATAATGGAAGGGAAAGTAGACCTCTAGATTTGCACAGGTTTATTGAACACCAGGAGTAGAATCTGGTGTGCATATATATCAATTCCTATACCACTATCTACTAACAGTCTAAACCCAAACAAAACCTTCCACCACAGGTTCCAATGAGTTGGCAACAGCAACAACCCCAGCCCCAGAAAGATGCACCCTTCCTACCTTTCTAGGGCTAGGGTTGTTGATGTGTGGTATCTCTCAAGCATCTGTACTGAACCACTCTTGGAGCTAGACTGATGATGATTGATTGATTGAGTGATAAAGATTAAGCCACCCAAAAGGTGGCACGGGCATGAATTGCCCGTAAGATGATAATCTGCTGTCAACTGGTTATATTACCAGTTCTACATCTAACCTGACCATCATCCTCTTGTAGGGTTGGGAAGAGGTATTAACTATACACTTGGGAAGAGCTTTTAAATGTAATTAGTGTGCTAAGTCGAATTATTAGACCCATCTCATTATCTGCACATAATTCTTTTTAATTATCAGGGGAAAGTGCCAAGCAATTATGAATTTATAGCACTTAGAAGGGGTCAGAATAAGGGTTTGGGATAGGATGGGAGGAAGGAAGGAAGGAAGGAATAGTGCCCAACCACTTGAATGGTCAGGGATTGAACGCCGGCCTGAATGAAGCAAGACCGTTGCTCTACCGTCTAGTCAAAGTGACTGGGTATCTGCACATAAGCTAATGAGACTATGGAGCAAGTATATTACTAACAATATACTTGCTACACATTATTTCCAGTAGAACTATACTGGTTATGTAGCTGATCTTTTACATCCTTGAAATTACGAGTTGTTGGATCCTGCAGTACAGTGGTCTTTGATCTAGACTCACAGTCCATGATCCCATGTTCGATCCCTAGGTGTGGAAGGGGAAAGGAACTACAGTATAAGGTGAAAATCCAACCACTTGGATGGATTGAACGCCGACCTGCAAGAAGTGAGACCGTCGCTCTGGATAAAAATTGCATCATACACAATTGCTCCAGTGGATAAGAATCTAAGCGACATGAAACAGCGAGTAACTGTGAGGAGAAGGGGGGGAGACATCAGATGGTGAGATGTCACCAGCAGAATCCCACTGGGTTCTATACCTGGACCTATCCTGATTCTGATCTATGTAAATGATCTTCCAGAGGATATAGACTCATTCCTCTCAATGAAATTTCTCTCAGTGTTTGCTGATGATGCAAAAATTATAAGAAGAATCAAGACATAAAGACAGACAGTGACTACAGGACAACCTGGACAAAATGGAGGAATGGGCTAGAAAATGGCTACTAACGTTTATTTCAGGAAAGTGTAAAGTAATGAAATTAGGCGAAGGGAGCAGGAGACTAAACACAAGTTACCATCTGAGAGGTGAAATCCTTCAAGAGCCAAATAGAAAGAGCTGGGGTTGATATCACATAGAACCTGTCCCCAGAAACCCACATCAAAAAGATACTATCAGCAGCATATGCACTAGATTGGCCAACATAAGAACTACTTTTAGAAACTTGTGTAAGGAATCGTTCAGGACCTTGCCTACCACTTATGTCAGACCAATCCTGGACTATGCAGCTCCAGTCTGGAGTCCATACCTAGTGAAACACAAGACAAAGTTAGAGATCATTCACAGATATGCCACCAGACTAGTCCCAGAACTGAGAGGTATGAGCTATGAGGAAAGGGTACAGAAGCTAAATCTCACGTCCATGGAATACAGAAGAGTAAGAGAAGACATGATAACCACCTACAAAATTCTCAGGGGAACTGACAGGGGTGGACAAAGACAAACTATTTAGCACGGGTGAAACACAAACAAGGGAACACAGGTGGAAACTTAGTACCCAAATGAACCACAGTGACATTAGAAAGATTTTTTCAGTGTCAGCAGTTAACAAATGGAATGCATTAGGCAATGATGTGGTGGAGGCAGACTCCATACAGTTTCAAATGTAGATTTAATAGAGTCCAGTAAGCTCCAGAATCTGTATACCAGTTGACTTACAGTAGAGAGGCAGGACCAAAGAGTCAAAGCTCAACCCCCACAAGCACAACTAGGTGAATGCAAGACGATTCGGATTTTGAAACCTACTTAACCTGAGTTTACCTGAGAGCCAATAACACTAGTGGTCCCGATGAGGACAGGAAGCCGGCGGTTTGTCGAAGGTTCCCCTCCCCCATTTGTCTTGATCTTTTCCAGCTGTACTTTAAATGTTAAATTTTTTTTTGGCATTTACGACTTCGGCGGGTAGGCGGTTCCATGAGTTTATAAACCTGTGGGCGAAGTAACATCGGTTACTACATTGTGTAACATCTCAGTCCTACATTGTGGCTTGTTGAAACCTAACCTAGCTCAACCCACTATAACCTAATCCAACTGAGCTCAATATATCTTAACCTAAGCTAATAGAGCCTAGCATAACAATATATACAATTTTAATAAATAGAAAATAAGCTTCGTCGAATCGTATCGTGTCCGAAACGACCATACCCCGTCGCTCTACCGTCCAACCCAATTGGTTTCCTAGGCGGGACAGAAATAGTTGGGTACACTAATAAAACCTGATGCCTCTATTCACCCATCAGTAAATAGGTGCCCAAGAGATATGCAACTATTATGGGTTGTATCTTGAGGAAGGTCAATGGTTTGACCTATCGGGGGTGGGAAAGGGGGGGGGGGCTCGATATAAGCCTATGTACAGGTTTCTAGACCCTGACGACGGGAAGGGAAGGGGAACTACCAGGAGAAAGCGCCAAGCCATTACGACTATATAGCACTGGGAAGGGGTCAGGATTAGGATTTGGGATGGGCCGGGTGGAAAGGAATGGTGCCCAACCACTTGGACGGTCGGGGATTGAACGCCGACCTGCATGAAGCGAGACTGTCGCTCTACCGTCCAGCCCAAGTGACGGGAATTAATTAAATGTATGGCAGCCGGAGTGCTATAATGTAGCGCTGGCCGCTGCTGTCACCGGGCGTATAGTGTATAGTTACTGCAGATAATTCGTCAAATGACAACAAAATATAAAATCATATATAATTCCTAATAAATATTTAGATTTATTGTTTTACGTAATATTATTATTGTATTTTATTATTAAAGTAGAATTAAGAATGGAATATTAAAAACACTTGTGTAATTAGGGTTGAGCAAGCAAGAGTACAGTCGCTCTGACGGATACAAGACACTCCGTACATTGACAACATCGCACACTAATATTTTTACCACTTCGGACACCAGCTTTCGATGTTTCGCATATGTGTACGTGTGCCACATTAAAACAATATAATGCTATTAACAATTAAAATCTTCTATTTAACAGGCATATAGTTATTAAATGAAGTTTAGTGATGTAATAGACATAATCCGGAGTTGGTAAGGACGCCGCCCGCCAGCGTAAACACAACACACCCGAATGCCCACAAACACGATACAACGCACAAAACACAACACCTCTGTCAGTTTTTGGATAAACTCCTTTTATATTTATTATGTGTGAGTTATACTTGTATAAAATGATAACTATTATAGGTAAGCGCCTAATATTTAATATTAATCAATAAAAAAGAAGTCAGAAGCCACACGCCTGTCTGTACATGTCTTTTGTGTAAAAGTATTTTGGGCGCTCATGTACTTGTGCGCTAGCTGGCGTTCACAATTGTTCTCACCTACAAGCATTAGAATTAAACAAACGAATTTATTTTTTCATTTATATACAAGAAGAGAAGGCTACCCTTGAGTCTGTAATATTCATCTGATCACTGGTCTCCCATTTGGTCCTCATTGCTTTATCTTACTATTATTGAATGTCAATAACCGTATTATGCAATTTCAATTCCTTCTATTTCTTTCTTTATTATGCACCCCATACCCATCCCGTGGGCCGTGGTGTAAAGGATTACAGAGGCACATAATCGGGTCAGGAACTGAACCCTCTAGTTCGTTTAGCTAAGCAAATAACAATGTTTGACGCTAGTTACAAAATTATTAATGTTGTATACACATGTACACACACACTCATACATACATATATATACATATATATATATATATATATATATATATATATATATATATATATATATATATATATATATATATATATATATATAAAAATATATATATATATATATATATATATATATATATATATATATATATATATAAAATATATATATATATATATATATATATATATATATATATATATATATATATATATATATATATATATATATATATATATATATATATATATATATATATATATATATATATATATATATATATATATATATATATATATATATATATATATATATATATATATATATATATATATATATATATATATATATATATATATATATATATATATATATATATATATATATATATATATATATATATATATATATATATATATATATATATATATATATATATATATATATATATATATATAGGGGGGTACCACCACTGGTGTAATTATAGGGACCCACAGCCTCAGAGAAGGGAACACAGAGCACTCAGGGAAAAACTTGACATTTAACTCTGAATACGAAAGAGTGTTCACTTCTCCTACCACCCCCTTTTTTTTTTTATTATGATGTACACTTTATTATGCAAGGTTATACAGTTACATAGGGAGGGAGCCGGTGGCTGAGTGGACAGAACACTGGACGCGTGATCCCGTGGTTCCGGGTTCGATCCCGGGCGCCGGCGAGAAACTGGGCAGTTTCTTTCACCCTGATGTCCCTGTTACCTAGCAGTAAATAGGTACCTGGGAGTTAGTCAGCTGTCACGGGCTGCTTCCTGGGGGTGGAGGCCTGGTCGAGGACCGGTTCGCGGGGACACTAAGCCCCGAAAATCATCTCAAGATAACCTCAAGATAACCTTACATATCTGATTTTATACAAAAAATGAACATTAAGAGGACACAAGAAAAAGTTCGCTTCCTAGAGGCTGTAGATTTCCTCGAACTCCTCCGACGCCGGGCAGGAACCGAGGATGCAGCGGGCATTTCCCCTCTGGATCGCGACACTGAGGCGCTGAAAGAGAAAACTTGCTGCTCTAGGGTCTCTTGTGGTGTCAATGAGCTTGGAACCAAGATCCTTAAGAAACCTTCTTGCACTCTCACCCCATGGGCCTAGGGTCTCAGACCCTATTGGAACGAAATTGTACCTTTGATCTAATTGCCTGTACTTGACTGACTTTTGTTTTTCTCTGTGTCGCTGCGGCTCCTGCCGTGCCGGCAGAGAGGGTGATGTATGTCGTTGCCAGGGTGGATACGCAAGTATAGTCCCATGCTAACTGCCTGCCACCCTTCCACGGACGCAGTGTGATTCCGTCTGGTCGGCCGGCAAAGCTAACAGAGTCACGGTTCAGTAGGTATAAATATATATATTTATATATATATGTATATATATATATATATATATATATATATATATATATATATATATATATATATATATATGTATATATATACATATATATATATATATATATATATATATATATATATATATATATATATATATATATATATATATATATATATTATACCAGTATAATCTAATAATATATACTGGTCTAATAAAATAATTAGACCAGTTAATACTCTCACTCGTTGTGTTAGGATATGTTAGCTTGATAAAACTGATTGTTTATTGTTGAGAAATGTGTTAACAAACAATATATCTGACTTATCAAGACTGTAGCTTGCTTAGCAAAAGGAACTTTTTTTAAATTTGGGTTCAGTTTAACTACCGCTCAATGGATGAGTAATTGGGGCATAATAAAGGAACTAAGCTGATAAAATGAAAGATGGGAAAACAACATTAGAGAGATAAACTCGAGAGACGTTTTCATGTTAACCCGAAAATTATTTGAGGAGCAAGACGGACTGCGGGTCAGGCAATTGGTCTTCATGCTATCGTGATGGGGGATCAGCCATTACACGTGTTAATGACTCTTGTATAGTTGTGTAGTTAAGGACAACAGGGTAAAGGGGTAATGGGCATTGTGGTTGATTGTTCTACCTGGGAATCCTCCACTGTTTTATATCGTATGTATGTATGTATGTACTAACCTAGTTGTGGTTGCGAGGGTTGAACTTTGGCTCTTTGGTCCCGCCTCTCAACCGTCAATCAACTGATGCACAGATTCCTGAGCCTACTGGGCTCTGTCATATCTACATTTGAACCTGTGTATGGAGTCAGCCTCCACCACATTACTGCCTAATGCATTCCATTTATTAACTACTCTGACACTGAAAAGTTCTTTCTATAATCTCTCTGGCTCATTTGGGTACTCAGCTTCCACCTGTGTCCCCTTGTGCGTGTACCACATGTGTTAAATAAATGTATGTATGTATGTATGTAAGGAGAGAGAGAGGAGAGAAAGAGATGAAGACCGAGACAGAGAAATAGATATAGACAGAGTCAGGGAGAGAATGTTAGACACAGAGACGGATAGATAAGGATATGCAAAGTCAGTGAGAGAATGACAGAGATAGAGCGAGGAAAGAGACAGAGAGATAGGCTGACACAGAGAATGGCAGAAACGAGGAGAGGCAGAGACAGAGGTACAGGGACAGACGAACAGGGCCAGAGGAGGGACGGGGGAACAGAGGGGGGGGGGGCCAGTGGGACAGAGAGGGAGACAGGGACAGAGACAGAGGGACAGAGACAGAGGGACAGGGTCAGAGAGGGAGACCGGGGGACAGAGGGAGGAGAGGGGGGCAGGAGACCAAGAGAGAGGGGACAGAGGAGAGACAGGGGATAGAAAGAGTGGGCAGGGGCACAGAGGGAGGGACAGGGACAGACAGAGAAAGACAGGAACAGGGGGGCAGAAAGGGCGGACAGGGGGACAGAGAGAGGGGCAGGGGGCAGAGATAGGGACTGGGGAACAGAGACAGGACAAGGGGGCAGAGATGGATAGGGGGCCTGGAGGAAAGGGAGGAGGACAGATGAAGGACAGCGGACAGAAAGAGTGGGCAGGGGGACAGAGAGGTACAGGGGACAGAGAGAAGGACAGGGGGACAGAGATGGACAGAGAGAGACAGGGGAACAGAGAGAGGGACAATGGGATAGAGAGGGACAGGGGGACATAGAGGAACAGGGGAACAGAGAGTGACAGGGGGACAGAGAGAGGAACAGGAGGACAGAGAGGAACAGGGGGACAGAGAGAGACAGGGGAACAGAGAGAGGGACAATGGGATAGAGAGGGACAGGGGGACAGAGAGATGGAAAGGGGGGACATGGGGACAGGGGGAAAGAGATCGAGGACAGAGGACAGAAAATGTGGGCAAGGGGACAAAGTGAGGGACAGGGGGACAAAGATGGACAGGAGGAAAGGGGGGAGATGTATGAGGGGGGAATGTTTGCGAAAGATGGAGAAGGGGTATTTAGAACGGTAAGTTAGAGAGGGGACAACTAAGGCGCATCATTGAAAAGCAAATGAGCATCATTGCAATAGCAGGAGCCACGCACATCTTCAGCCTGCGTTGTTGAGACATTGTCAATTAAGCGGTGTCCAATAGCAGTATCTTCGGTATTTAAGCGATACCTTAAAAAATACTGGAAATATTCAAAGATATTAATCCCCTTGTGCAACGCACACAAGAGGCAACAGCTTCTAGCTCTACAAGTGGCAATATAAAATTGAGAACAGGCGATTGTTTTTACTCATAGTGTAATAAACCCACGGACCCACCCACCCGATGAAGCCGTAAATAGCAAGACATTACTTCCGTTTAAAATTTAGCCGGAATAATCCTCAGGTTTGTGGAGGATGTGGGAGGCCTTTGATCAACCGCCGACTTCCTGCCCCGTCGACGGGGCCACCAGCCCTCAGTGTGCCCTCAGCCAAATTCATGTGAAACATGTATGTGTAATTAATATTTTAATTTATTATTTTCAAGATTTAGCTGTTAGCTCTTGGATCCCGCCTTTCTAAGCGTCGGTTGTCTAATGTACCGACTCTCGGCCTCTTTTCCTCCATCATATCTAAACAACATATATTTTTATCTAACACACACACACATCCCCAAGATGCAGCCTTTAGCAGCTTCCTGACTTTCAGGTTCCTATTTACTGCAAGGTGAATAGAGGCATTAGTGTGTGTATGTTTGTGTGTGTGTACGTGTGTACGTGTGTGTGTGTACGTGTGTGTGTGTACGTGTGTGTGCGCGTGTGTGTGTTTGTGTGTATACTCACCTAGTAGTGGTTGCGGGGGTTGAGCTCTGGCTCTTTGGTCCCACCTCTCAACTGGCAATCAACTGATGTACAGATTCCTGAGCCTACTGGGCTCTATCATATCTGCATTTGAAACTGTGTATGGAGTCAGCCTCCACCACATCACTGCCTAATGCATTCCATCTATTAACTACTCTGACACTGAAAAAGTTCTTTCTAACATCCCAGTGGCTCATTTGGGTACTAAGTTTCCACCTGTGTCCCCTTGTTCGCCTACCACCCGTGTTAAACAGTTTATCTTTATGTACCCTATCAATTGCTTTGAGAATTTTGTAGGTAGTGATCATGTCTCCCCTTACTCTTCTGTCTTCCAGTGTCATGAGGTGCATTTCTCGCAGCCTGTCCTCGTAACTCATGCCTCTTAGTCCTGGGACTAGCCTATTGGCATACCATTAAACTTTTTCAAGCTTCGTCTTGTGCTTGACAAGGTGTGTGTGTGTGTGTGACGTGTATAACACACACGTACTTATGTGGTACGTATGTACTACATAACTGTAAGGCGTTTGCTGAATCAGAAAAGTCGGCTAGCAGTCCACCCTTAACGACACAATTAACTCATTACATAAAAAAATACGTGGCTGTGCAACAGTGTGTGGAAATTGGGGAACTGGTGTGCATTTAGACGACTGGTGAGGACCAACAATGACGTAGAAGGATGGCACCAGCGTCTGAATCAAAGGGCAGTGAGGGACAACTTGGCTTTATATATTTTAATCCCCTTACTGTACCGTGAGGCGTCCCTGGTAACCTTGCAATACCATCTGGTTTCTGATCAAAAGCTAAAGTCCAGTCGCCGCAAGGGCAATGAAGAGAAACAGGAACATTTGTGGAAGCTTTGGGACCGTTACGAGGAAAAACAGATAAGCACCTCACAGTTCCTCAAGGAATGTTCGCGTTTTATCCCAGGAAGTGCCTGAACTAGAATTAGAAAACAGCAGCCTGTTTACTGGTTGTTATTTAACTTAAGTTAGTTGTAAATGATAATGTAAAAATAGCCACTGAGAACTGATGAGTTGGCCAAGACTTTTGCTCGTAAAGAGGGAATTGATTACCAACTTGGACTGCCTTTGAGCAGCCTGAGGGCAGCAGTTTCCCAGGAACATCAACTAAATTTCGGAGACTTGAGGCAAAGTTAAATTCACACCAGTTACTCCATCAATCATCATTCTATTATGCAAAAAAGAACCGCACGTCTATGGGTCATCCAATAATGTTAGCAGACTTCTAGATGTTACCACTGCTAGGCTTAGGCTCGGCTACAAGTACCTCTGGGAGTTGTAACATCTGCTGATGTAGATTTGACTAAATGTAAACTCTGTCAGCAGAAATATTCGCATACTTTGCGTCATTATATAATGGAATGTGAAAAAATCGCGGAATTTAGAGATAACACCATCAATAGTGTCCAAGAAATGTGTAAGTACTTCATTCATAATGATGTGCTGCTCGAAATCTTAGCGAAGTATCCAAAATTTGCTTACTGTAGGTAATGCTGCACATGACTGTAAAGCTGCCGCCCAGTTGGGTGGGTGTGCAGCAAGGCTAGTAACTGTGTGACTCACCATAGATGTAAAGTGCCTTTTATAGTGACTGTTGTGAGCCTCTTGTTGATCACTTGTGACACAAAGATTATTGATGTGTGTATTTGTGTAGGTGATTAGATATGTATGTGTATGTATATATGTATACGTATATATATATGTACATGTATGTATGAGAGTGTGTACATGTATATATAGTATTAATAATTTTGTAACTAGCGTCACAAATTGTTATTTGCTTAGCTAAACGAACTAGAGGGTTCAGTTCCTGAACCGATTATGTGCCTCTGTAATCCTTTACACCACCGCCCGCGGGATGGGTATGGGGTGCATAATAAAGAAAGAAATTGAATTGAATTGGTCTGATTAAGACTTTATGACCATGTAATCTATGTTTTGCTCCACTACTTACTGGTTGAGTATGGGGTGCATAACAAATAATAGCCTCCTTCGGGGGCGCCTTGTTTCTAAACGTGTTAGTCTTAAATCCTTTAATCTCAAATCTTGCTACAATGTACCTCTTAATAAATGTTATGTACTCTCGCAACCCAATGTACCTTCTTGTATATAAATAAATAGATTTCAACTGTAAGGGGATATGGTTTGCACCTTGTTATTCTAATAATGGATAAATAATTCTAATAATGGAAGCGCTAATTATATGAACAAGTGCCATGTATTTATTCAGACGAGAACAACAGCGAACACAAACCAGCGCATATACGAACGGAATGGTTTGTATGTACAAACTTCTCAGTGAACGAAGTTGTTTCTAGCCCGGTATCCGAAATTGCAGTATACGACTTGACCAGTCCCCGCTCTGACCACCACCTCGCCGACGGCCATGGCTTTATTGGTGCTCCGGTGAATAACATTTTGCCCACAATATCCTGCTACGGGAGGGTCTGAGATGATTCGTGTGATATACCTTGGTCACGTTTCTTGAGGAGCAATGAACAATTTGTATTTTCAGACTTGCTTCAGGAGGGTGCAGGGAGGCCAGCAGACGACCCGTGCACCTCCAGGGACCTCTGGCCTACCAATGGTCAGTGAAGGGATGATGTAGTAATAATAGTAGTCTTACAGAGCATAAAGCTCCTTCATTTGATAATTACTTACTGATGATAAGGGTTAGAAGAGTGAATAATGTCGGGAGCAGGACGCCCTTGATTGGCTAGTCAAGGACAAGGCAGAAAATGCGCATTAATGTACATGTCCAAAGGTAGATGCATCAATCAAAGTTTATGAAGGATTAAAAATCTGGATGCCTGTGTATATGTCGGTAACTATAGGTTATTTTCTTAGCTAATGTACCATGGTATGGGGTTTGGTAGGGAATGGTAGTTTATATTTCCAGTAGTAAACGGTTTTTTATTTTATTTTATAGATATACAATACATACACACAAGGTACACAGGACTGTGCTGCTACCCTATCTTCTACATGAATATCTATTCATGTAGAATAGATATTCTATTCTACATGAAGATATCTTTATTCTCCATGCAGATAACTTTTGTCTACAGCACAATCTAGATAAAGAGCTAGCTATGAGTTCATCTAATAGGATAAATCACATTTTTCACATGCCAGTTTGCCAGTGATTTTCAAAACCCACCTAACCTAATCCAACTGGCCTAATACAACCTAAACTAAGCTAATACATCCTAATCAGCAATATATACCGTTTGTTAAATCAGGCCAGACCCCATCTCGCAGGATGGTTTGTCATGCTTGGAACCGGGAGAAAAATCCTGGATAATGCATACGAAAATATTTTCTAATACTGTACTGTAGTTGTGAGTGTATGAAGTAGTTACAGACCTCAAAAGTATGTTGCATCGTTTGGTTGAAGATCATTGATAATGGGGCAATGCTATACAAGACACCAGTAAGTATTATGTACTGTATACGTTTTGTCATATTTAAGTATTTTTGAACTTTTCAAACAAAATGTTCTCAGGTTATGAAGTTATATTCCATTTGATAATGTGTGTGTCACCAAGTTGGCAGCCACATGCTGTGAACACATTAATTAAGGGCTCGGGTATATGCTGTATTTTTTACACTGGACCTCAATGTATTAGGACACCAATTCATACATTCATCTGCATGCACTCCGACACAAGTAAATACAAATGGTTGCTTGCCTACGCCCACCAGTGCCTGGTTATAGTGTAGTTAGGTACTGTATTAAGAGGTTTAAAGGTACTGTAGTTAATAAAATTCCAGTTCCCAATTGTAATAATCAGTGTATTATAAACATCATGTACATGTTTATACTAGTGAAACTCCTTAGAACATAGGCAATATAACTGCCTACACAATTGTTTGACAGGCTCTTAATTTTAATGTAGGTTATTTATTAAAGAAAGGCATAATGCAGCATTGCTGTGGTAAACTGTGATTTTTAGTCATCAAACCAGTTTTACTTCTTGGATTTCATAAGTGCCAAATATCACTTTGCTATCGCTTTTTTTTTTTTACTGCAGCTACCACATGTTGTGAAACTTTCAATGACTAGATTCTTTTCATCATCAATCTGCTGCAAAGCAATGTTGGTATTTGGTCATTGCAATGTGCATTGTTATACTGTACCCAACATGCAAGGTCTTGAATTTTCAAATTTTAAAAAGCATTTGTCAGTCTTCCAACAATCTGTGGAACTTTTGTAGACTTGCAGTGATATGGATATGGTGTGTAATAGAATGTAGATGTGTTCAGTGTATTTATGCTGTACCACTTTAACAACTATGTGAGAAATGGGTACAATTCCCATTTATCTGAATGTTGGCACTCGGATGTCTGATTACTTGGCGCAAACAAACACATCAAACACTACCAGTTTTTTGTCAGTCCATGTACAGTATATCCATGGATATTAAGTATACTGCATCTATTCCAGTGTCATTTTATAGAACAATTGTCACCTTTCAATTTGTACCATAACTTTTGTAAAAACAAATGTTTTTTTACTACTGTACTTTTTTTTAATCTATATCAATAACTGAAGACCATCAGCTTTACCTTATACAGTACTGTACAGTTTGATTACCAGAAGGTGACATATGTGGGTATATGGTATTATAGTACTACTGTACAGTATTAGCATGTGGGATGGGAGTTTTATTTACTAATGCCTCAAAGTTAGCAATGTTTTGTTCTTATTAATTTTCATTTAGATGAATTTATACATGTATCATGTTGCATTAATTTGGTGATCTATTTTCTGAGGGGATGGAGCAGAATGAGATTTTTAATCCGGATGGAAGGTGATGGTAGGACCAAATTATTTGCTTGGTTTGGCTTCGCTGGATATTTGCTATAATATTATGACTAAAACACACATTACAAACTTTGCCAGCCTTGTAATGTACCGTATTTTTAAACTTTTCAGGACACGTGCACTCTTCACTACACCTTCAGCTACAGCTATGAAAGCTCAGTCAGCTGAAGATTACTGGTCCAAGAATAAACGCCTACGCCGGCCTGTTTCCCCTCATTTGACCATTTACAAACCACAGATAACCTCGATGCTCTCTCTCTCGCATCGTTTTACAGGTTTACTGCTATCTACAGTTATATCTGGATTTAGCATTGGTGAGTTATTAAAATAAGTTGAATACAGGATTATTTTTTCATAGTCCCATTATTTATTTATTTTTATGTGGAGAGCCCCTCCGGCTCCCAAGAGCTATACCGGGCTGATATTTTTTTTTTTTTTTTTTTTTTTTTTTTCTCTCCTATGGTCCCTGGAATACGATCCCCTGCCGCGAAGAATCGTTTTTTCATCCAAGTACACATTTTACTGTTGCGTTAAACAGAGGCTACAGTTAAGGAATTGCAGTAAATCCTCCCCGGCCAGGATACGAACCCATGACATAGCGCTCGCGGAACGCCAGGCGAGTGTCTTACCACTACACCACGGAGACTGTCAAATATGTATATGTATATATTAGACTGTGGTATCAGTCAATTCAATTGGAGTTCTAACCTACCGGAGACCACGAGCCAGAAGCTGGCTCCCTCAGAGAGGCACAAGGAGCAATGGCCTTTAGAAACCCCCATGTGGTTGGAAACATTCAATGTTTGCCATCTACCAGATTAGGCACCCAGGAAGGTAGGCATCTCAAAACAAACTCCACCTGGTTAAAATTGCTACTGAAATCCAAACTTTCAAGCAGAACTCCAAAATCTGAAAACAAGCATGACTTCATAACTGCCGCCACACCGCTGTCTGCACAGCTCCTCCCCACCCTCACAGGGAAGGGGGAGCCCTAGACCCCTGGCGCTGGCCATCCAATCCCAGTTCTGAGGCTGATGTGTTGCGTGGCGGTCGTTCGACTCTGGCTTGTGTCTCTGAGCAGTGCTGTTCCTTTGCGGTGTTGTTCTGCTGTGTGATGTTGTGCAAGTCAGGAGTAATTCCTGGAGTACTGGGGCTTCATGTGCATAGGGCCACCTTCCCTAGGTGCCCTGTAAATATTTCCCTTGCGGCTTGGGATTGCCTTCCACAAGTCGTTCGGGAACTACCTCCGTTGGGATTTTTTGCTTCTCGATGATTGCCCACCCATGGAATCGGCTTGGGTTTTCATTTCCACTGTTTGACCTTGGGTAAGAGGTGGTATCGTCGCTGGTAGGGGTGCAAGGTACTGTGCAGCTATTACACCAGTTGATTGACAGTTGAGAGGCGCGACCAAAGAAACAAAGCTCAACCCTCACAAGCACGATTAGGTGAGTACACAGTGGTTGGTTCTGTTCCTCTTGGAGACATTGTACTTTTGTGGAGTTTTTATTTTTGTTGCCTGGAGGGGAGTCTGACCCTTGGTTACTGTCCACCCTCTGTTATTCTGGTGGTCCCCCACTAGGTCCCCTGTGATTGTACACATTGCAGGGGTTCAGCTTTAATTGATCTCTTGGTAGTCTGGGCCAACTGGTTATAATAATAATAATAATAATTTTTATTTAGGTAAGGTACATACATAAAGAGATTTTACAAAGTTTGTTGGCTTTATAGATAGAGCTAGTACATACAATGCCTAAAGCCACTATTACGCAAAGCGTTTCGGGCAGTAACGCTTTGCTAACTCTGCTAACCCGCTTCGGTAGCAGCACCTTGCCTGGGCTTTCCTTACCAGTCAGCCTAAAGGCCCCTGGAAACCCCCAATGGGGCTCATTGGTCCAATGGATGCATCCTTTGGGTCCCATCTCGTCTTGTGCGAGTTTGAAGGTTGCTCTGTCCCCCTTGTCTCGGGGTGACATTCACCGGTTTTGCCTCGGGCATGCTGCCTGTTGGGTCAGTTCCTTCGACCCGGAGTCCTGCGAGTGGTGTTCCTTGCTGGTTCTCCAATTCACTCAGTCCACTGATATTGATAATAGAGTGCAGGCAGCATCGGCGTTACATGCACTGTTTAGGTAGCTGTAACGCGCTAGATTGGTTGCTTTTCCGGATGCCCCGTTTTGGTTATAGGGACCCAGACTTCAGGGCGTTAGTCGTTTTGACGTTGGTTTCTTCTGTGCTCCCTCGTCCTTTCGTTGTTGTTTGTCCTGCCCTGGCTGCTGTTTGTCCTGCCCCACTGCCGGCTCTCAAACATCTGAGGATTTCGGTGTCGGGGCAGGGTCTAAATGGTGGTGAGACTCGGGCGGTCTCAGGGGCTGCCCCTTCTGGTTCAGCGATGTAGGTATTCGAGCCTCTTCCTCCAGCTGGGGCTTCGGGGTCTGAACAGCAGACCCTCCCCCCCTTTTCCAGTTGACTGCATTTACTTTAGGGGCAGAGGGTTTGGAGGATGGCTCTACCCCGGGTCCTGGCGTAGAGAATCCCGGGGCTTGGGAGAAGTTGACTTGGGGTGCTTGGGGGCCCATTTGACTCCACTTGGGTGTTGGTACCCTCGGTGCAGGGGGAGGGGTTTTCTTACCCCCCCACTTTCCATATCCCTAAGAAAAAAAAGAGGAAGAGATGCAGATTGGAACGGGAACGTCATTTTCTCTATAGGCGAAGAAAACAAATCACGGAGCAACTTGAGAGTCGCACCCTATCTCAAGAACGGCGAAGAAGGTTAGGTAAAGAAATAGAAACAATTGAACTAAAGCTACAAGAATCATACAAACCCCAGGAGAGGCAAAGAGAGCAAAAATGCCATCAGTAAAGTAGAGAAAAATCCAAAATATTTTTTTCTCCTATGCAAAATTAAGATGAAAAAACCACATATAGTATCCATCCATCTTCCTGCGAAAGGGAGATGGTACTTTAACAGACGACACCAAAGAAATGAGTGAAATACTAAGGAATCGGTAGGACTGCTTTCAGCGAGCCACTAAACACACTAAAGATTGATAACCCAAATGAATTTTTCATGGATATGATACCAACATCGTCATATATCGGATGTTACCCTATCCCCACTGGATTTTGAAGAAGCCATAGACAGTATGCCTATGCACTCTGAACCAGGCCCTGATTCTTGGAACTCTATATTCATCAAGAACTAAAAAAAACCCACTGTCGCAGGCCATTCACATTCTTTGGAGACAAAGCCTAGATACTGGCATTATAACCGACATACTAAAAACAGCAGAGATAGCACCACTCCGTAAAGGAGGAAATAAGGCAAGAGGCAAAAAATTACAGACCGATAGCACTAACATCACACATAAAAATCTTTGAGAGTGCCAAGAAGTAAGATCGCAAAATACATGGAATCACAGCATCTCTATAACCCCGGACAACATGGTTTCAGAACAGAGCACTCTTGCCTATCACAGATGCTGGACCACTATGACATGGCACTAGATGCCATGGAAGACAGACAAAAATTGCTGATGTAATTTACACAGATTTTGCCAAAGCCTTCAACAAATGTGACCATGGTGTTATTGCACATTAAATGCGTTCAAAAGGAATTACTGGAAAAATAGGCAGATGTATCTACAATTTCCTGACTAATAGAACCCAATGTGTAATAATCAACAAAATTAAATCCGGTCCATCAACTGTGAAGAACTCGGTCCCCCAGGGTACTGTCCCATGATCAAAGATTATATTACGCTTTTAAATTGGTAGAATAACCTAATTTAGTTCATATGAAGACCTTTGGGCAGCCATTTATTTTTGTAATATAAAAAAAGGCATAATTTTATTTTGAGCATATATGTCCATTGTTTATATGTACTGTACTGTTTCTTTCCCCAGGAATGTTGGCTCTACCAGGATCTTATCCACACTATTTGAGCTTGATCCAGTCCATGGAATTTGGTGGAGTAGCCATCTATGGGGCAAAGTTTCTCTTGGCTCTGCCATTCATGTATCATGTTGCCAATGGCATCAGACATTTGGTAAGATTACTATTTAAGTGGATATTATCTAGATCTTATCTAGGAACTCCTTTGTAGAACTCCCCCACAACTAAATGTTTCTTTATATTTTCTCTACTACTGGAGGGTTCCATATACAGTACCTTCTCTACTACATTATCTTTTCAATAATGCTCATTTCCACTGGTATTTTTTTCTACATTTACAGCACATTATGGTTTCCTCATTATTTCCAGTTTTGTTTTGTGGGAAGGAAATGGTAGTTTCATTACTATTAAAATAGCTTCAGAGAGAAGATTGAGCACTGATACATTATAAATGTTTTAAATTGTCTTCACATTTTGAGACAGACTGTACATGCCACTACAGTACCTCCTCAAAATAGGAAACACCCATAGTAAGTAAAAACATCAGAGATATAAATCAAAAGTTAAATACTGTATTCTTCAAAATCTAGTACTGTATTCAAATTTAAAGGCATTTAACATTTTGGACATTTAAAAATCCTGAGAGCTTTCATAAGTTCACTTGTTTTAAATATATGAAGTCATTTTACACAAATTCTTAGAAACGTTGCTTTGTGCAAATAAATATTACTTTACCAGCATTATTTATCTACTTGATGACAATTTATTTTATGACCAATAGCAAAGTAATTATTTGATATCCACAGTGGTGCTTATGGTTTTCAAGAATTCCTTTTTGTGTTGACTTTAAACTTGAGATAACTTGACCTGACAATACATTTTTGGGTATGTTTACCATTTAAATGGAACTACTGTACAATATAACAATTCTTTTCAACATGCATCATCTTAAGAACCTTGACTTAAAACAAAAAATGCTCATATATGATCATAGAATTAAGTTATTAATTATTGGCCATTGTAATCCAGAAGCTTGAATGGTACCCAAGCCATAAATCATTAAGAACTTTGACCCAACCAGGATTTGAAATTGAAATGGGCGAGTCCAGTGAATTGCATCGCCAAATTAACCTGTCACCCCACTCAAACAGATCCTCCCACCAGTAATCTCCTACCCAAACACATCCTCCCACCAGTAATCCCTACCCAAACACAGTGCCACCACTTTCTGAACACAACCACAACACTTCCTAAACACAACCTCAGCAAACCAATATTACATGCAACCATCAAGTATATGCCCTGTTCCTCTATCTATTTAACTACCCATACCATTGCACTGCTAACACCCTCGCCCAACCTACATTACCCTCATCCACAAATCCACCAAATTCTGAATTTGACACAACCAACCACTATATTCTCTCGCCCATTCAATCTATTCCTCCTCACTAAACTTAAGCTCGTCCCACCCTTGCCTTCACCATAGCCTATGCTCAAATTAACCCCAGCAACCATGCACTCATTCTACTTCCTTACCAGTTATTCATCCATCTTGCTCTGACTTGACCAATACCAATCATATTTTGCCTATCCACACAGGTTCCACAACTTGTAACATTAGTTGGTATTGTGAGATATTCCTGACTTAAGAAACTGGAATAATTCCCTTTATCATATACAGTAATAGCAAAAAAATTGTAGTTATGCATGATAATATATGTAACTCCTGCCTTATTATTTTTATTGCAGGTATGGGACTTGGGGTGGGGATTTACACTCCGTACACTGTACAAGACTGGTTATGTCGTCATTGGGATTTCCCTGGCTTTGTCATGTGCTGTTGCTGCTATGTAATTATCCTTTGTACCATAAGTGGTGCAATTGATACGAGGTACACCATTGAATAGTGAACACATGTTACAAATTAATCTTTTCAAGATAGCATTATTTTTCTTTTTAATACAACTGATGTCCATACTTTAAGGTCTCAAGAAAAGTGTGGCAAATCAGGTGGTATCAATGATGTTCTAATTCTTATGAGCTATGGATTTACCCAGTAAGAATGTTGAATGGACCACATTAGGTGGTATGAAATGAATTAGCAAGCTTGATTATAACAATGTTCCTTTTGTGTAACAGGCAACACGAAGTATATTTTGTACTCTATGTGAATTTTCTTATTACTCGAAAATATCGAGTACAGTATCAGCCTCGTATTAAAATTGCATTTATATTTCTAGGTTGACCTCTATTAAAATGTCTTATGTAATGTATATAATATGAGATCTGTACAGAGAGAAATCAATTACGTGATGTATCAGTGAGAAAATCTGTAATAGTGCTTGGGAATACGTACTCTGAGCATAGGTTCGAATCCTCATCACGGCTCCTACGAATTTTCTCATGTGATCTGTTCATAATAAAATAACTTGGAACTTTTTAGTGTTATGATATGATTTCCCCCTCATAATTTTTTTTTGAGATATATACAAGAGTTGTTACATGCATGTACAGTCACTAATACAGGCTGTATTCCAGGGCAGGTCCCTGGAATACGATCCCCGCCGCAAAGAATCATTATTACAACCAAGTACCCATTTTACTGTTGAATTAAACAGAGGCTACAGTTAAGGATTTGCGCCCAGTAAATCCTTTCCGGCCAGGATACGAATCCATGACAAAGCGCTCGCGGAATGCCAGGCGAGTGTCTTACCACTACACCACGGAGACTGGTGTAGTGGTAGACAGTATATATACTGTATGGGTGTACTTGTAGTACTAGTGTGAGTAAATAAAGCTTGTAAATCAACTCTAATATACTTAATTAAATACATTATACAGTACAGTATATATTTTTTTGTACACAAGCTACAATATACAAAATATATAATACTTATGTTGAAAAATAATAAACAGAATGAAAGTTTGATACAAGCATTCTTGCTGGTTTTAGGTACTATAGGTTTGGGTGACCTTTGCTTCTGTTGCCAAAACAGATAGTGGTGGACACAAACGCAACATGGGCACAACAGCTGGGGTGGATGAGTGGCTGTTTGTCAGGTAGGAAGCAACAACGGTCAAGGAAAATCTTGAGTGGGTATAACTAGTCACAATGACACCATATGGACAAATTGTTTAAACATCTGGGAGATGATTTTTCGGGTAAGAGTCTGAATTTCTCTCCAGCTGAATTGGTGGTGAATTGGGTGTATGATTAGATTGTCTTCATGCTCATCGTCTTGAGAATCGTGTCAGTCTGGCTCTCACATTGTCTTGAGTAACAGAGATCTAAATGTGGAAGCATCAGCTGAGCTGCAGTGGGTAGCTAGCTGTATCTTGTCTGTTCTTAGAGGAGGAAGAGCATAATAATAATAATGTTTTAAATGCATGAAATATGGAATTTTTTTCCAGAAAGTAGATTTTGTCTCGGAGGGTTATGACTGATGTGGAGGAGACTTGGGTTTTCAAGTTTATGGGAAGAACATGTCTTAATTAGGAAAAGGCAGAACCTGAGGTTGTCCTTGGTGACAGGGTCAGTCTATATAGTGTTTTTGGGAGAAGGCCAAAGGTCTCTTTGCAACGCTTCATGTTAATTTGGGCTTCATTTCCAATTATATGCCTCTGGAGACAGTGGACTTCAGGTACGAATTGTCGGCCATTAACAGACAAATCAGTGTTATGACTCTAGGAAAAGCTTCAAGGTGTTCAACAAAATACTATCAAATTTTAGTGAGAGCTTGCAAAGAACCTCCTATATTGCATTCTTAGTATTGCTGAAACGTTAAAAAAGGTGAACTAGTCACGAGCATATGCAGCCTTAGCTAATCACGGGCACCATTTTCAGAACTTCCATTGATTCTAGCATTAGTCTAAACTTAGTGAAATTGAAAACCAGTGGCTTCAACAGTTAAACACTGATCCAACATTTTCGAGGGACAAATTCTAGCATCTGGATCATCTTGAACCAGAGCAATAATAACTGTCAAGAACGCTGCTGGAGAAGTCATGCTGATTGACGTCGCTGAGTTTGCATGTAAAATATACAGCTTACAAAGTCGAGTCATTATTGCAGTGTGCATGTGCATTTTATCACATGGATCGAGGCGAGGCGATTAATAAAACGAGTATAAAGACCAATAATTATCGAGCCATGAAACAAATTGGAGAGGTATTTAGAATACCTCTCAACAATTGATACAAGACCATCAAAACCTTGCTGGACGCCTTCAAGTACGATGAGTGCGGGCGGGAGGTCATCAGAATTAACAATGGAATTCCTGGTGGGTTTCCAGGCGCTTATACCAAGTTTCGCTCGTTTCTCACTGCAAATGGATAAAATTCAAAATATGACTGTTCTGGTCACGCAAGTATGGTTTGGGGGTAACAATAGTCATTTTCCGTAAGTCTTAGGCATAAGCAATTAGAAAATAACACTATGGTGGTTATCTTGATCTGACTTATCTTTACTGTTTTCTGTGTCGGTTGTGTTGAAAGTTTGAAGATTCTAGAATGGATGAATACATGGGATACTTCCTGGCACTTGACTTATCTTGTATATTAAGCTTTCGCTTGTATTATAGTCAAAGATATCAACTCATAGACTACTTATCACGCGGCTGTGCTCTCATATTTAGGTCAGTCCAAGTCAATTAAAGATGACTTGCAGCAGAACCCATTACACAAAACTGCGATTTTTAGCATTACGATAATTTTGCAGGAGACAGACTACACGAACTCTCATGATAGAATAGATAAATAATTTAGAAGTGCAAGACGGTGACATGTTGCCTGAGAATGTTAGGTTCAGTATAATTTTACAATTATTATTAATATTTTTGTTTATGGTGTGCTAGATGAAAGCAGGAGCTTGAGGATTGATGAGTGGTAATTGGGGCAAGGTACAAATATTCCAGTTTTTAATAGTAAAAAAAAAAAAAAAAAGTTTCCCACACCATCGTGCTATGTTTACCAAAGGTGGGGAATGTAAAGTTTATGTATTGGCCATGGCATTTACGGCAGCGCACGTAATAACCCTGCCTCAGACGTCCTACCTGCCTGTCGCCCAACAACTACTGACATTCACCTCAATTTTCATAACGGTCTTGCTCGAGGTCGCTTTGTTTAGAGATTAGAAGTGGATGATAGCATTTAAAAAGGTTTCATATAAATTTGAGCTGTCATGCATCTTCATCCTTAAAGAATAACGCAATTTTCCTAGTGGTTGGATAAAAAGGTTTCATTATACTCATGCAAAGAAAAGGGAATTAAATTTATTTATGATTTTGAAATATTAATATTATTTAATAGCAAAAAATACAACTAACTTGTAAGAAATATCTAGGTGCTAAAAGCACATGCGGAGTGCTTTTATCATCATATATCATCTGCGGAGGCTGCATCGTCACCATACAGGCCGGCCCCGACCAGCCTATGTCCGTCCCCTACCCCAGACCATTCCCCCTCCCCCCCGCAAAGCTGGATGAGGCTATTTTGATGTTATCTTGAGATGATTTCGGGGCTTAGTGTCCCCGCGGCCCGGTCCTCGACCAGGCCTCCACCCCCAGGAAGCAGCTCGTGACAGCTGACTAACTCCCAGGTACCTATTTACTGCTAGGTAACAGGGGCATCAGGGTGAAAGAAACTCTGCCCATTGTTTCTCTCCGGCGCCCGGGATCGAACCCGGGACCACAGGATCACGCGTCCAGTGTTCTGTCCGCTCAGCCGCCGGCTCCCGTCAGTTGCATACGTACTCGTACAGGTGAGCAGCCAGTGTGTACATGTGCAACCCGTTGTACACATGTACAAATGAGTAGTCAGTTGTGTACATGTGCTGATGGATAGTCAGTTGTGAACATGTGCTGATGGATAGTCAGTTGTGAACATGTGCTGATGGATAGTCAGTTGTGTACATGTGCTGATGGGTAGTCAGTTATATACATGTACATATAATTAGTAAGGCGTATATATGTACAGATAGTCAGTTATATACATGTACATATAATTAGTAAGGCGTATATATGTACAGATAGTCAGTTGTATACATGTACAATGCTTTGGCCAGACCACCTCTCTGTCTTACTGGTGCTGCATAGTCTTCCCGGCTTTGTGGCTTCTTTGATAATTACTTACTTACTCTTTGTTGGATAATTAATTACTCTTTGTTGGATAATTAATTACTCTTTGTTGGATAATTAATTACTCTTTGTTGGATAATTAATTACTCTTTGTTGGATAATTAATTACTCTGTTGGATAATTAATAACTCTTTGTTGGATAATTAATTACTCTTTGTTGGATAATTACTTACTCTTTGTTGGACCGGTTGACCAGTCCAGCAACGAGAAAGCCTGGGCAAGGACCGGGCCGCGGGGACACTAAGCCCCGAAACCATCACAAGGTAACCACAAGGAATGTACAGATTAGTAGTCAGTTGTATACAGGTAAGTACCCAGTTAATATATATACATTTAAATACCTATAAAAATGAGTAACTAGTTGTACTCACCTAGTTGTGCTTGCAGTGGTTGAGCTCTGGTTCTTTGGTCCCGCCGCTCAACTGTCAATCAACTGGTGTACAGATTCCTGAGCCTACTAGGCTCTGTCATATCTACATTTGAAACTGTGTATGGAGTCAGCCTCCACCATATCACTGCCTAATGCATTCCACCTGTTAACTACTCTGACGCTGAAAAAGTTCTTTCTATCGTTCCTGTGGCTCATTTGGGTATTTAGTTTCCACCTGTGTCCCCTTGTTCGCCTACCACCAGTGTTGAATAGTTTATCCTTGTCTACCCTGTCAATTCCTCTTGAGAATTCTATAGGTAGTGATCATGTCTCCCCTTACTCTTCTGTCTTCCAGTGTCGTTGGGTGCATTTCATGCAGCATTTTCTCGTAACTCATGCCTCTTAGTTCTGGGATTATTCCTAGTGGCATACCAGCTTAGTTTTGTGCTTTACAAGGTACGGGCTCCATGCTGGGGCCGCATACTCCAGGATTGGTCTTACATGTGAGGTATACAAAGTTCTGAATGATTCCTTGCACAGGTTCATGAAGGTAGTTCTGATGTTAGCCGGCTTTGCATACGCCACAAATGTTATTCTTTTTATGTGGGCTTCAGGAGACAGGTTTGGTGTGATATCAACTCCTAGATCTTTCTCACTGTCCGTTTCATGAAGGACTTCATCTCCCATTCGGTATCCTGTTTCCACCTCCTAGTCTCATTACCTTACATTTACTCGGGTTGAACTTTAGTAGACATTTGTTGAACCATTCATTCAGTTTGTCTAGGTCATCTTGTAGCCTCATGCCTTAGTCCTCTTCATAATTTTTGCATCATCAACGAACAATGAGGGAAACAATTCACAGGGCCAGGTCATCTAGTTGTGCTTGCGGGAGTTGAGCTGTGGCTCTTTGGCCCGTCTCTCAACTTTCAATCAACTGGTAGCTGTGTGTAGTGTGGTTGTGTGCATGTACAGATGAGTACTTATATACTTGCACAGGTGAGTAGTCACTTGTATATATGTATAGGTTAACAGTGAGCTGTATACATGTACAAGTGAGTTGTAAGTTGAATATAAGTACAGGTGAGTATGCAGTTGTATATATGTACAGGTGAGTAATCAGATGTGTACATATACGGGTGAGTAGTTAGCTGTATATATGTACTGGTGAGTTGTTAGTTGTAGACACTACAATCTTAGTAGCCACTTGTGTGTACGTGCATATGTTTGTAGGTGCTGGTAAGTGTGCATGGGTGCTTAATTTGTTACTTTTAACATCTTAAAAAACGAGGCTAGGTTAATTCTGGATTGATTATCAACGCTAAGTTAACTAATGGCAACTTTCCGGTGGTGGTTCAGTTACAAGAGGTGCGTCAGTAGAGCGTCAAGCCTGGCCGTGTGTGGGTGTGTTCCTGTGCCTCTCTCTCTCCCCCCCAAACCCCCTCCCCCCCCCAGAACGTCCCTCCCCACTCCCCCATCCTCCATTCCCTCACATGTATATATCTCCCAATAACATTAATTATATATATATATATATATATATATATATATATATATATATATATATATATATATATATATATTATATATATAATGTACCCAAAGTTTTCTGAACTATTTAATTATAACAAATTCTTACAGACTGATAGTTTCAAATTTTAATACACGTAAAATTACTTTTTTAATTTGAGCCTAAAGTAACTTATCAGTCTTACCTAACCTAAATATGGTAAATACTGATCATACATAGGTGAAGCTTGACCTAACGAAGCTAGAAATCCATGTTCTTAATATAATACATTAATATTAATCTGGTGAGCTAATTTTGAAAGAAATGCTTAATATGCTAAATTGCTGTAGCTGTTAGCTAAAATGTCTTAACGCTACTGTTAGGTACTAATATATATGTACGTATATATATATATGTGTGTGTGTATACATACATTTGCATATGTATACATAGTGGTAATTATATTTCACACATGAGAAGTGTGGTCCCCTGCGTGTACTGGTGCAACAAGAGACATGATGTATTAACAGAGGTGATAGTACTACTATTAACATTCCGTTTAAATAGGGATTATATGCTTTAGTACAGTCCCTGGTTTAAACCAGCTGCTCGCCGACCCCCGTCACCACGTGAGTACTCCACCCTCCTTGTATTATTATGACAATAACTATTACCTTTGTCGTTTGAAAATTAAATGTGATACACACGCAAGGCCGATTCATTTACATAATGCCATACTTTGTGATATATATATATATATATGTGGAACAATATGTGTTTTGGAAGAGACTGGGAAGACACTATATAGGATGTGATGCTGAACAATTGATTTAATTCAGCGGATTTTGTTTTAATATTGTCTGTAAAATACAAGCTGGCCACCTTATACACCACCCGTGAACTCTATGGTTTATGTGTCATGCTGTGTCAACTCTATGGTATTCCTTCACAGTTCTGGAGCGCAATATTCAACCATGTGCTAAAGGCAGCTTACAATGCCTTTATGCCACCAGCCTCATTCTTAGGCTGGTGTAAACTACTCTTAACATGTTTGTTGGATAGTAAATTATAAAATCATATAATAATTGATATTATTATAGAGCTGGTTTTAATTCACACCAATTATAAAAAAAATCCCGAAAAGAATGCCAACGTAAGAAATTTATACGCGGTATTTAAAAGGATATACTGTATGTATATATATATATATATATATATATATATATATATATATATATATATATATATATATATATATATATATATATATATATATATATATATAAGGTACCACCTCTGGTGCAACTGTAGGGACCCATAGCCTCGGAGAAGAAAATAAAGAGTACTCAGAGAAGACCCTGGATCCTCACTGAACACTTTAATATTTTCTTCTCCTACCACCCCTATTGTTTTTGTATGTATGTATATGCCTCATTTTATTAAAAATTTCATTACACAAAAATGGTTACAATATTGGTTACATGCAGGGTACAAAGCTACGTGTACTGTACTGTTGGTTAAAATGGTTGAGCGTCGTAGCCTAGTATGTACCAACTGGTATGATAATGTGAGTACTCAAGCGGCCGCTTCCCTCCCCCCTCCCTATCACCCAGAATGCAAAGCAACAGTAAAATGCGTTACAGGAAATTTTAAATAAATTATGTAATTAAAATTCCAAGTTCTGAATAGTAATAGAATGTAATAATACTTTATCCTAAATCGAGATAATTACGGCCTGTCAGCCAAGCCCGCCATCGTGCTAATACAAGATCGTCCATCCATTATATAAAGTGTTGCCGACACATATGACTACATATTTTATTTACTGGCTGATTGGGACAACGGAGAGAGAGCTATGTAGGACGTGAGGGTTGTTTGATGAATAGAAGCGATAATTGCGGATGTGACTTCCCATCCTCCTTGCAGGATATGGGCGAGGTCTTCCGCCCACGAGCAGGCCAGCGGGCTGCATGTAGTCTGTAGTTTGACAGCTAAATCACTTGCTTTGACAGATTCAGCTCCTGGTTTGAACACTTTAGCCCCTTCTTTGAAATCTACAACCCTTAGTTAAACAACTAGATATCCTAGTTTTGAAAGCCACAGCCTCCGACTGGATAACTCCAGTGCGGTAATTAGGTAATTTAGCGTCTGTTAGGCTAGGATAAGACAATTGGTTAAAACTACCATTTGGCAGGCTACAACTCTAAATGGGTGGGGGGTGGGGGTTTAAATCCCCCCACCCCCGTGCCATCGTGCATATTGCAAGACTCCCCACGGGTCTAGTCTAATACAAAGATGTACGAGGCTTATTGCCTCGTGCCTTTGGCTTGCCTTAACATTTGCTCAGGTACTCCGTTGACGTGGATAGCACCGTGCAGTCATACCTGGCGCAGCTAGCGTGAGACTCTCAGGTGCGGCTGAAAAAAAGTGGCCTGGTTTCACATCTGACGCAGCCAGCCACGTTCTTCAGAAATACAGATCTCGAACTAAAGTTCATCATCTATTTAGCTTGGCATTATTGTAGGAAGCCATATTTTTGTTTACTGTTTTGCTTCTTAGGTTGAATTGCCTAAATCTCTCTTCATAGCTTATTTGGGGCTCAAGTCTTGTTGAAATACTTGGGACTTTTTCATTTTTCTTTGTGCGCTCCACGAGATGAGGATTCCATGCTGGTGCAGCATATTTTAGAAGAGGTCTGGTGTAGGTTGTAATTGTGTGTGTGTGGGGAGGGGGGTAAGGAGAAAAGAAGGACGGGAAAGAAAGGAGGTGTGGGGAGGAATATCTATGAGGGGCAGACGTTGTGTGTGTGTGTAAGGGAGTCCTGTAATGTGGCCTTTCAGCACATATTAAGGGGGGAAGCGGGGATATGTAAAGGGGGGGGGGAGGGGGTGATCTATCACCAGGTGGGGCGGGGTGATGGACCAGGTGGGGCGGGGGTGATGGCCCAGGTGGGGCGGGGGTGACAGGCCAGGTGGGGCGGGGGTGGCAGACCAGGAGGGGCGGGGGTGACAGACCAGGTGGGGCTGGGGTGACAGATCAGGTGGGGCGGGGGTGACAGACCAGGTGGGGCGGGGGTGACAGATCAGGTGGGACGGGGTGACAGATCAGGTGGGACCGGGGTGACAGACCAGGTGGGGCGGGGGTGACAGACCAAGTGGGGCGGGGGTGACAGACCAAGAGGGGCGGGGGTGACAGACCAGGTGGGGCGGGGGTGACAGACCAGGTGGGGCGGGGGTGACAGACCAGGTGGGTCGGGGGTGACAGACCAGGTGGGGCGGGGGTGACAGACCAAGAGGGGCGGGGGTGACAGACCAAGAG